TTTGATGCATTTTGGTGCATTCCAGTGCATCCTGGTGCGTTTTTGATTCCATTACAGTTCTATGCAGAAAAAAATGCAGTCTGTTCTACTTTTTTTTCTGCAACCGGAACACACTGGAACTGCAAGCACTGATGTGAACTATGACATTGACAGCCATAGAACCTACCTTCTGTGCGTTTTGGATGGAGAAAAAAAGCAACTGAAATGCATGTAGTGTGAACTGGCCCTTAGAGGGTTAAACAGGTGGTGAGGAGGCAACATATTGCAAAGGCCCCAGAACGATGCAGAAGAGAAATACTCGGTGCTTCTGAATATGTAGAGCACATGACTCGCCCTGCTTTCTGACAGCGCTGGTGCTTGGATCATTTTCTGCTCAGACACCCAGCGCTGTCACATGGGGGAGGCGAGACCATCTTCTTCCCTGAGGGATCATTCACACAGTTTGGGCCACCTAAAGAAGGGCATGCAGACTTTTAGGGCTGTAGACATGCCATTGCAACAATTTATTATTATACATAATTTATATAGCGCCAAACGTTTGCTCAGCGCTTTACAATATAAAAGGAGACAATACAGCAACAATACAGTTCAATACAAGAGGGATTTGAGGGCCCTGCTCCTTGGAGCTTACAATCTAGGAGGGAGGGGTTAGTGGTAGTAACTGTGGGGGATGGAGTGGTTGGAAAAGTAGAAGATTCCAGTATTAGCTGAGGGCAGGATAGGCTTCCCTGAAGAGATAGGTTTTCAGAGATCGCCTAAAAGTGAGCAGAGTAGGCGATAGTCTGATAAATTGGGGTAGAGAATTCCAGAGGATGGGGGAAGCTCTGGAGAAGTCCTGGAGACGAGCATGGGATGAGGAGACAATTTGACCAACTGTCACATCTGGCAGGTGGTATTGCTCAAATTTAGGTGAAGAAGGTTGCGCTGATAAATTGTCTCTTACTGTGGGGCTGCGCGTGCACTGCACGGATTAAATGCTCCTTTTTTTGTCTAGGGGATTTAAAAAAGCAGATTTCTTTATCTGAGCCTCCACTCCTTCAGGCTTCTCTGCACTGTTAGACCAGTCCTCGCAGGCTCTTCTCCCCCATGCTGTAGCGGTTTAAAGTCATCTGACATCATCAAGACCGATGCAGGATCCATAGCCCTGCACTCGATGTGAGGATATGGAGGGACAGACAGAAAATGCAGGAGGGACATCTTCCAGATAAAGATCAGGTAAGTAAAAGAGCTTAACTCTCCACCTAGACTAAACAAGCAGTTAACCCTTGTAGCGCAGGTGAAGCCCCAATGCAAGGAAGAATTTTTAGGTTTCCTGGAGTTGGGCTTGAATTGCGCTTGTTGCTTTGCACTGCATTGGTAAAGTCCAGGTTCCAATGGGAGATACAGTTCTGAGGATCCTGGTGACAACCAGGAATTTCCTTCACTTTCCCTAGGTTCACACCTAAGCATTTGCTGCCACGATTTGCAGAAATGCAGTACAGTCCAATTAGCATGATTTCCTATGGCAGAGGTTCCACGTTTTCACCCGGCGTGTTTTATGGAAAGGGACAGGGACTTTTTTTAACGCAAAACGTTGCGTTTTTGGTTCTATAGACTTCAATGGGAATGCTGTAGAAAAGATTGTGTTGTGCTTTTGCACTGTTTTTGATGTGTTTTATGTTTCAAATCTGCCTAGAAACAAGAAAAATTAAAAAAAAAAAAAAAACGCAAAATGCATCACAAACGCAGCAAAAACTCAAGTGCAAAAATGCAATGCAGAAACGCCTAAAACGCAACCTGCATAGGTGTGAACTAATGCAGGCCATACATGGGTCGAATTTCCAACTAATTTTCTTTAGAAAATCGGATATTTAGTGCGTTTTGTAATCCGATGGTGCCACCATTGATTTCGAAATTCGAATAACAAAGCCTTCAATTTCTCCTCATGTTGCTACAGAAAAGAATTTTCGTGGCCAAGAATTTTCTTTTCTTTCTAGGTCACAGCTTTATATTTCTTGCACGATTCTCCTATCATTGTTTAGAAATTAGTTTGTTTTTCAAAAAATTTCCAACAGGCCGATCACTCAAATTCAATGGTCACACGAAAATCGTCCGTTTCTGTGGCCCACTAATGGCGCGAAATTCCAACGAAAATTCTTAGAAAAGATTTTCGAAAGAAAATTCTTTCGGAATTTGACCCATGTATGGCCGGCTTTAGGGTTTGGAAGGTTTTCCTCCCACTTCCTGGTGTATGTTAGAATAACATGACATAAATCAACAACACCACCATCAGTCCCACCCCACAAGCCTAAGTTCTAGGTGTCACTCGAGACTCCAATCTGTCCTTCTAGCCCCAGATCCAATCGCTGGCAAATTAATGCATGCTCCACCTCCACAACATCTCCAAAATACGTCCATTCCTAACCGCAGAAACTACTAAACAACTCATTCACTCCTTATTATATCTCAACTTGACTACTGTAACTCCCTCCTCACCGGCTTACCTCAACACAGGCTATCCCCGCTTCAGTCTATCCTGAACTCTGCGGCCAGACTCATCCACCTTACCAACCGCTCCGTATCCGCCACCCCCCTCTGTCATTCCCTCCACTGGCTTCTTATTGCCCAACGCATAAAATTCAAACTGCTAACATTGATGTACAAAGCTATCCGTAATACTGCCCCAAACTACATCACCGACTTGATATCCAAATACCACCCAACACGTACTCTTCACTCCTCACAAGACCTCCTACTCTCTAGCTCCCTGGTCTCCTCCCATGTCCGGCTCCAGGACTTCTCCAGGGCTTCCCCCATCCTCTGGAACTCACTACCCCAATCCATCAGACTGTCACCAACCCTCCTGACCTTTAGGCGCACTCTGAAAACCCATCTCTTCAGGGAAGCCTACCCTGCCCTCACCTAACTGCCGATCTCCTCCGCTCTTCCCACCACTCCATCCCCCACAGCCATTTCCTCCTGTACCACTATCCCCTCCCTCCTAGATTGTAAACTCCAAGGAGCAGGGCCCTTGAACCCCTCATGTATTTTATTGTATTGTTACTGTACTGTCTCATATATTGTTTCCCATTGTAATGTACAGCGCTGAGCAAACTTTTGGTGCTATATAAATACAATATAATAATAATAATAATAATAAATCAGGTGCGTTTAATCCCGTTTTTGTAGCGTTAGGCAGGTGCTTTGTCATTCGTCAACGTGGATATCCTTTGACATGCGTTTTTGATGCACGTTTTTAATGTGTTTTTGAATGTAGAATTTGGAATGGAAAGGGTTGACAGCCATTGACCAAGACTTGTGACTACCAGTTGCCAATGTATTATAATGCATGTTAAATGCATTCTGATATGCTGCCCTTGACTGTGGGCCTGGCAACGCACTAAAATGCAAAAAAGCAAAACGAACATGACAGATTTTTAAAAAAAAAAAACACTGCACTGCAGCCCTGGGATAGGAACAGACAGTGGGGGGAATTTACTAGAATTGGCACAGACAGCATGTGGAGCAGCTATGCATAGTAGCCAATCAGCTTCTAACTTCAGCTTGCTCCGTTAAGCTTTGAAAATGAAAGATAGAAACTGATTGGTTGAAATGCACAACTGCTCCAGCTTCTGTCTTCTCCAGTTTTAGTAAATTCCTGATTATCTTTATGTATGGAGAACAATGACATGCGTTTAAGCACGTCAGAGCACGCTGAAAGACAACAGTGTAAATGAGCCCTAAAATGATTACCCTCAAATGATTTTGACACAAAACATGATTGGACAGGACAGTACCACATCCTCGTCCCTTTTTTTCATTCATGCATAATTTATTTTATTTATACATAGTTAAAAAAATGTGCAGATTTTTAGACTAGGTTCACACTAGCTTTTTAAGCAGGCAATTTTGCAGGCGTTTGAGGGGCGTCTTTAACACGAGTAACTTCAAGGCTTGGCTAGTAGCTCAGGACTTGAAATTTTGATCCCTGCACTATACAATCTGATTGTACAATCTCCTTAGATCTACTGTCAACTATACAGTGCATTGGATACAGATTGCCCGGATAGATTAGGTGTGCTCTCCTATTGTATAGTTTTGGTCAATCTAAAAGAGATTGTACAATCAGATTTTCTAGTGTATGGCCTCCATTGTAATGATAGTTTATCATTCACATCAGTAATGACCCAAAACATGACGTCATCTGATCTCCAATCCATGTACTTTGCTGTATGAGAAAACCATAGGAGTCTGCTCTACACAGATATGTCCCTGCTGGGATCTGGATGAGAGTCCCCGGAGCTGCAAGAGGCAGAGGTTGACAAGAGGACAGCATGGCCCCTGACCTGTACTCTATGACAGCCGCTGTTCTCTGTACTGTGTGCTCATTGCTGCTGCCTCCTCCCTTCATCCTAATATACAGGAGATCTCCTCCTCCCCCACACACCCCATTTACCTGGATGAAATTTCACACGATCCTCAGCAATCCGTAGATCCCCTGTCACCCGACAGATCCCCTGTCACTCCCAGATCCCGTTACTACAGACGCTTTTCCCTGTGGAACCTTCGCTGCAGCCAGAACCGTGATTGGCAACCTCCCATTGCCTAGCAACCAAAGATGCAGGTTCCTATCTCCGCCCAGATCTTTCCCTGCCAATCAGCTTGCAACAGACCGACCGGAAATCCCAACCCCGGAAATGCCTTGAACTTAGCGGCCATACTCGCTAAGGGCAAATTGAACATAGCTTGTAAAACGAAATCGAATGCTTAGCTTATGGAATGAATAAGCACTTCGATTATGTGATAAACAATAATAATAGTCAATGATCAATGATAGATTTTTCATGTTTTAAACTATATGGTTTTATTGAAGGGTTTACTTTTGCCCCTACACAAAATGGCTGCCGGGGATTCCTGAACACAGGCGCAGGTGCAGTTGATCTGTTTGGCCCAAGTGTATGGAGTGTGTGTAGAGGAGAGATCGGCGTGCACCCGGTAGAGTGGGAGAGTAGAGCTGGGAGATGGCGGATTTGAAGGTGAAGCAGGAGAGCGGGGACGCTGCTGAAATAGAGAACAGGTACGACGTTGTCACCGAGGTCACTGTCCTGGCCCACTTCTCTTCCGTCCAAGCTGGCTTTCTGATGGACATGGCTATGACTCCAGGCCTACTAAATTGCAGTGTGCTGGACCCTGGGTACTTTGTTAGAATGGGTCATGTTCCGTGGTGGTACTGCCCACCGAACGCGTCTATTTGCTGCCGCATGAACAGCCCCCTCTGACTGATGAGATGGAAATGAAGGCAAAATTATTTTCATTTGGGATAGACTAAGGCAGGGTTAGAACCTCTCTCATTTTTTTTTTATTTAATTTTTTTTAGCTATCTGTCTCCCATTGGAGAGATTTTCCTTCATTTCCTGTCCCATAGCCAAAACAGGAAGTGAGAAGAAATCCCTCAAAAGTAAAGGTATCCTTGGTTGTCACCAGGATCACCAAAAATGTCCTCTCTCTTTGTGTTCTGGGGATAACCCAAAAGATGGGATTTTCTTTTGCTTTCGATGAAAACGGTAAACAGGACAAATAGAGAAGATGAATCTCCCTAACGGGGGGCACAGACAGCAATAAAGACTGGCAAGTGTTCTAATCCATCTCCACTCTGTCCAAAATTAAAAAATAAAAAGGTTTACCTTTCGGGTTCATGTACACTGCATAAAACATCACAAATATGTGAAAATTAATAAATACACACTGCAATAAAAAATATATAAAATGAAAAAAATATTAAGTCCCACTCCAAATCAATAGTGAAAAATAAAAAAATAGAAAATTATATTCCTGAAAGTCGTTTTCCCAAAAAAAACTTTTTGACCTGTGTTTCCACCGAGATGGTACTCATATAATACACCACACTCACCAGATAATGGTGAAAAAAACGCCTTTTAGGGTTTTTTTTGGAATCCTAGACTCAGTCAGTATGCCTCCAATCACCAGATATTCCTGGATTTACCCCCACTTCATACAGGAATATAGCCAGCCTCCAGGATCACCAGACACCACTCATAAGCAAGATGGCCCCCAGGAACGCCACACACCGGCGTGTGTTCCACTCACCGGAAGTGACATATTACGTTATACAGAAATGCATCAACGCGTTTCACCCCTCCAGGGAGTTTTCACAGGGCTCATGTACACTGCAGCTGATAAACTCACATTTAGGAGCTGTTCAGTGTTTTTTTTTTCAGCAGCCCCTGAACTCTCCTTAATGTTTTCCTATGTGTCCATGTACACTATGTCGTTTACAGTCATTTACAGACAGTTGAGTTTACAGTCGTTTTTTTGAACGCAGAATCAGGAGTAGATTTTATCAGCGTTTCAAATTTTTTTTTTATTGCTTTCATTTCCAGATGCTGTCCAGAGTCTTTTTTCATCATGAAAAATGCATGCAAAGTGTTTTTCCCGGTAGTCAAATGGACCTGGTACACCGTACTTTGAGGTTTCGCATGAAAGAAAATATGTTAGACACTGCTGCAATAATTTCTGCACAGAAATGAGTTGGAACACATCCAAACACCACAAAAAAAAGACAGCTAATCTCAACAAATACTGCTCTCTCTGCTTCTGCTCTCTCTACTTCTCTCAAAATGTCTGAAATAGTTCATTTGTTACTGTTTTTCAGAGCATTCTGGGCATTTTGGAAGGTCTCCTGAGGTTATCTTTAAAAAACGCTTCTAAACACAAACGCTCATAAACGTGGTATGCAAACGCGGCTAAACATATTTTTTCTTTAACCTACGTTTTCCAGCATGGGCCGCACGTCTCCGTCTATTTTTATTCCCCCCCCCCCCCACCACCAATTGTAAGGGTAATTGAACCCTTCCTGAAAAGCTCATAGCATGTTTTTTTTTTTTTTTAATTTAACCACTTGCCCTCCGGAAGATTTACATCCCTTCCCGACCAGGCCATTTTTTGCGATACGGCGCTGCGCTACTTTAACTGACAATTGCATGGTCACGCAACGCTGCACCCAAATGAAATATTTGTCCTTTTTTTCCCAAAAATAGAGCTCTCTTTCGGTGGTATTTGATCGCTTGTGAGTTTTTTTATTTTTTGCGCTATTTATTTTTTGAGAAAAAAAACAAGTTTTTTTACTTTTTGCTATTGAACATATCCAGTAAAAAAAAAAAAATAAAAAAAATCAAATTTCGTCATCAAAATTAGACCAAAATCTGTTCTGCTACATGTGTTTGCTAAAAAAAAAAAATCCCAGTATGTGTAAATTAATTGGTTTACATGAAAGTTATAGCGTCTACAAATGGCGGTATATATACTGGAATTTTTTTTTCATTCTTATACTAGTAATGGCGGTGATCAGCAACTCATAACAGGACTGCGGTGGGCATTCTGACACTGGGGGGGAAATGACTGTCACCCCCCCAGTGACACCAATGCAGTGATCAATACTGATATAAAAGCACTGGCACTGTACTAATGGCACTGGGCAGGAAGGGATTAACATCTGGGGCGATCAAAGGGTTAACTGTGCGCTGTACAGTCATGGCTGAAATTGTTGGCACCCTTGATATTTCTCCAGGAAATCATGTATTTCTCACGAAACGTATTGCATTAACACATGTTTTGCTATACACATGTTTATTCCCTTTGTGTGTATTGGGACAAAACAAAAAAAGGGAGGAAAGAAAGCAAATTCGACATAATGTCACACAAACCTCCAAAAATGGGCTGGACAAAAGTATTGGCACCCTTTCACAACTGCGGATAAATAAGAATGTTACAAGCATGTGATGCTCCTGTAAACTCACCTGGGGCAAGTAACAGGTGTGGGCAATATAGAAATCACACCTGAAAGCAGATAAAAAGGAGAGACGTTCACTTAACCTTTGCATTGTGTGTCTGTCTGTGCCACACTAAGCATGGACAACAGAAAGAGGAGACGAGAACTGTCTGAGGACCTGAGAACCAAAATTGTGGCAAAATATCAACAATCTCAAGGTTACAAGTCCATCTCCAGAGAACTAGATTTGCCTTTGTCCACAGTGCGCAACATTATCAAGAAGTTTGCAACCCATGGCACTGTAGCTAATCTCCCTGGTCGTGGACGGATGAGGAAAATTGATGAAAGATTGCAACGCAGAATAGTCCGGATGGTGGATAAGCAGCCCCAAACATGTTCCAAAGACATTCAAGCTGTCCTGCAGGCTCAGGGAGCATCAGTGTCAGCGCGAACTATCCGTCGACATTTAAATGAAATGAAACGCTATGGCAGGAGACCCAGGAGGACCCCACTGCTGACACAGAGACATAAAAAAGCAAGACAACAGTTTGCCAAAATGTACTTGAGTAAGCCAAAAGCCTTCTGGGAAAACGTCTTGTGGACAGATGAGACCAAGATAGAGCTTTTCGGTAAAGCACATCATTCTACTGTTTACCGAAAACAGAATGAGGCCTACAAAGAACAAAACACAGTACCTACGGTAAAATATGGTGGAGGTTCAATGATGTTTTGGGGTTGTTTTGCTGCCTCTGGCACTGGGTGCCTTGACTGTGTGCAAGGCATCATGAAATCTGAGGATTACCAAAGGATTTTGGGTCGCACTGTAGGGCCCAGTGTCAGAAAGCTGGGTTTGCGTCCAAGATCCTGGGTCTTCCAGCAGGACAATGACCCCAAACATACGTCAAAAAGCACTCAGAAATGGATGGCAAAGAAGCGCTGGAGAGTTCTGAAGTGGCCAGCAATGAGCCCAGATCTAAATCCCATTGAACACCTGTGGAGAGATCTTAAAATTGCTGTTGGGAAAAGGTGTCCTTCCAATAAGAGAGACCTGGAGCTGTTTGCAAAGGAAAGAGTGGTCCAAAATTCCGGGTGAGAGGTGTCAGAAGCTTATTGATGGTTATAGGAAGCGACTGATTTCAGTTATGTTTTCCAAAGGGTGTGCAACCAAATATTAAGTTAAGGGTGCCAATACTTTTGTCCAGCCCATTTTTGGGGTTTTGTGTGACATTATGTCATATTTGCTTTTCTGCCTCTGTTTTATATTTGTTCCAATACATACAAAGGGAATAAACATGTGTATAGCAAAACATGTGTTAATGCAATACCTTTTTTGTGTGAAATACTTGATTTTCAGGAAAAATATCAAGGGTGCCAACAATTTCGGCCATGACTGTATGTGTGTGCTTTCCACTGTAAGCACACTGCTTTGTATGGCTCTGCTATGCACAACCATATAAAGCAGTGTGGGAGCTGACAGGGGAGAGATCTGTATTGGGTTACATATAGGTCTCTCCCTATTGGTAATAAACAGTGATCACCAGGTGACAGCAGGGAATCACCGGCCGGGACCCAGTGATCGGAAGGTGAGGCCACCAACAGCCCGCGCACACCCCCTACCCAGAAATACTAAATCACATGTATATATACGTGATTTTGCACACACCTGCCGCCCTGTAGCAGTATTTCTGCTATAGGGCGGAGGGGAAGTGGTTAACCTCTTGGCGCCAGCCGCACGCAAATGTGCAGCCTCGCGGCGTCTGGGCCTTGATGCCGAGTGGCCGTATATTTGCGTGCAATTAAGAAAAACATACGTGCTGAGAGCCCGCGCTCTGCGCGCTCCAGCACACATGTCCGGTACCCACGGTTCTCTTGCGATTGGGACCTTTCCCGATCATGTGACTGCGAATCATGGCAGTCACATGACCCTAAAACCCTGCCTCCCGACTTCTGAAACCCTTAAAGGGGCGGGAGGCGCCAGCGCCAAGGGGTTAAGTAACGTGTGGTATGTATTGATGTTATTGTATTTAAACAGTGGGATGTCTACTTCCCAGAACTTGTGGTGGAGACTTTTATAACTGTTTTGCCCTGCAATAGTTACAACAGTAGAAAAAGTAAGATTCAGAAACAATTCTGGCAATTGGCTGGATACACTTTATACCTTTTTTAATACCGGTGGAGTGGCTCAAACCTAAAACCATGCAGAGAGTGCCCTCCTTTTCTTTTTTTTTTTTTTTAAATCATACCTTGTTATACCTGAGGTGGGGTCCAAACCTACAACCTTGCCCACCGTGCTGGAGTCTTAACCACTACGCTACAGCCACTGCGAAAGACATGGATTCAAACTGCCATATGTTTTCGAATCTCCCAGCAAAAAGCCGTTGGCACTGGCAGTTTTTTTTGGCCTGTTTGCCACAAATCAAAACACATCTTAGTATATGTGACATCCATTTCCCAGGAGGCTTCAAAGCACAGAAGTCGTCATTCTCACTTAGGCAAGAATGGTGGCTGGGGGGGCAGGGCTAACTTTAAAAATATTTTCAAGAATTTGTGTGTGTATAAGTATATGTGTGTGTGTGTGTGTGTATATATATATATATATATATATATATATATATTTACACACACGGGCGTACCTTGGTTTACGAATTTAATGTGTTCTGCGTTTTGTATTGCGAAAAATTCGTAAACTGAAATGCTGTTTCCCATAGGTATGCATTGAAAACCAATTAATCCGTTCCGGAGTTCAGAAAAAAGTAAAAAAAGAAAAGTCTTATCTGTTCAAAACTCTTTGTAAAGTGCACTTTAAAGGCATAGTACTGTACAGGGACATGATTAAAGCAGAGCTCCACCCAAAAGAGGAAGTTCTGCTCTAAGGACTGCTACCCCCCACTCCCTATTAAGGATTGACACCTTTGGGGGGGAGCGGGTACCCGAATTTGACAGGTACCCTCTCCCACTTCCAGTCCGATTGCCCAGGCGATCGGATAAGGAAAGTGTTCTCCCTCCCTCCCTGTAGTCTTTTGGGACACGTGACAGGTCCCAGAAGACTACAGGACCATTCATGAAGTGCAGCGATACTCGTGCATGTGCAGTGGGTACCTGGCTGTGAAGCCGCAAGCTATCACAGCCGGGTGCCCACACTGAAGATGCCGGCCTCCTGGAATACAGGACAGCCGGTGAAACGGGCTGCGGGGGACACACCGCGGGACCAAGGAACAAGTAAGTGGATGTTTTTTAAAAGTCATCAGCTACAGTTTTAGTAGCTGCTGACTTTTATTTTTTGACAGGGTGAGTGGAACTTCGCTTTAAAAATTAATTCGTAAATGCATTGAAAACCAATTAATCTGTTCCGGAGGTCAGAAAAAAAGTAAAAAAAAGTTTTTTAGCTGTTCAAAACTCTTTATAAAGTGCACTTTAAAGGCATAAATACTTAAATACTGTACAGGGACATGATTAAAAATTAATTTGTAAATGCATTGAAAACCAATTACTCCATTCCGGAGGTCAGATAATCAGAAAAAAGTAAAAAAAAAGTCTTATCTGTTCAAAACGCTTTATAAAGCGCAGATTATAGGCATGGGGCCGGCGCTATAAACGCTTCGTATTGCGAAAAAAATTCATAAACCAAGGCATTATTTTCAATGGATTTTCATTCGTAAACCAAAAATTACGTTAACCGAGGCGTTCGTAAACTGAGGTGCGCCTGTGTGTGTGTACATATAATATTTATTTATGTTTCTTACGTTTGTTGTGTGCAGTGCATAGGTGTTGGTCTGCTATAAAGAAGAACCTTGGTCATTTCTGGAGAAAAAAAAAAAAATCAGCCGCTACAAATACTGTAACTTCTGACTTTTGATAAACACACACTTAAAGGTCCAGGAGTCCAGTGCTGTCCTTACTTTTACTATTCTTCAGGTCCCTGGGGCCACCATCTTGGATGTGGGAAGCCAGGTTTCGGTTCCTGGTGTTTCACAGCCGCACCTGCTGGAGTGATGTCATTGCAGCTCGGTTAATTAAGCAGCAGCAATTTTTTTGTTTCCAAGGGTGAGAAAGGTGTCTGGTGGACTGAGTCATTAAGGCCACCTGGCAGGGGGTCTTCATGAGGAATTTGAGGTGTGAATGGTAATTAACATATCTTTTGTTTCCAAGGGGGGAGAGGTCCGAGGTGTGAATTGGTCATTACAATGTGTGACAAGCTTAGTAGGAACATCCTGTGTTCAGTGTTTTGTCCATTTGAGTACCTTGAAAATGCTTTGCATGCATTTTTCATGATGAAAAGGCTATGGACAGCATGGGGAAATGGAAAAAAAAAAAAAATTGCAAATGCTTATAAACGCGATTTGCAGCGTTTATAAGCGTTTTGTGTTTGAAACAGTGATAAAATCGACTGCTGAACGCAAGTTTTCTGCGTTCAAAAAAACGACTGTAAACTCAAATGCCTGTAAACAAAGATGTGTACATGGACACATAGGAAAACATTAGGGTGAGTTCAGGGGCTGCTGAAAAAAACGCTGAACAGCTCCTAAACGTGAGCTGCAGTGTACATGAGCCCTAAAGATCATAGCTGGAGTTTAATGGATCACAAATGTTGGTGTACTAATCGTACTTCTTTCTGGAAGAGATAAAATGGATAACACCTGTATTGTTCAATGATCAAATCTTGTATTTTATTAATTTCTGAATCTGAAATCTCTGGCTAAAACGGAAACTTTAATTACATTTCTTTTTACATTTAAGGATTATAGAGATGTGTCAGCAGTTTCCTCATGGAATTACAGACCAAGTTATCCAGAATGAGATGCCACACATTGAAGCAAAACAGAGAGCGATGGCAATCAACCGTTTACTGTCCGTTGTAAGTTTTAAGGGATGGGAGGTGAAGGGGTATAAGATGTCATTAAAGGTATAACAACATTACATTACACTACCGTGTTGCGGTAATGCATGATAAATCATGCTTGTTGTGGGATTATGCAGTAGTGTGACGTGCACACTTTAGGGCAATTGATTGTGAATGGAGTCAGGGTGGTGGAGCACTTGACTCCAAGCTTACCATAGGTTCTCAATGGGTCAAGAGTGTTTTAAATAAAAAGTGTTTCAACCAAAAACTGTACAAAAAACTTTCCACATCTTATATACAATGGTGACTTGGTGATATTGTATTGTATATAAGATGTGAAAGGTGTTTTTGTAGTACCGGGACTTTATAAGGATGAACTGATCCATATATTGGTTTTTTGAGCATTGGTCCTTTTAATGGCATTTTCTTGCACAATTTCCAGAGTGTTGTACTAGGGGAATGTGTATTGTAGTCCCGTAAGAATTTTTTTCGGTTTAAACACTTATAATATGTATATGGTGTACGTTCTTTTATTCATTATAGAGTGTTATCTAGGCATCCCCACTGAGGAGTGAGGTGCATTGTAACATGATACATTTGTTCTGGATTTAAATTGATATTTACATTTATCTTTTGGAGATGTGACCACACATTCACCCATTGAGGGGGATATTGTAGCACGTCACAAAAACTCATTCACGTCTACTTTTAGAGAGGGGTTTTCATATATGTATTTTTATTCTTTTCACAGTTATAGCAGTGGCAGCGCAGCATCCTAATTGATATATTATCACACCCACTTTTGTTAGTTGCTAGCAGCAGCCTACAGATCCTAATCTTCTAGCTGCGTAGGGTTGTTCGATATAATATGAATTCAATGCACGAGGCTTTGCTGCAGGAGCTGCTGTCAGTTGTTTCCCTTGGAGGAAGAGCAGAGAGCATGTCTTGTGTTTGTGTAGTCTGGGCTGTCTTTGCATGTTGATGCAGGCAGTGTCCTCATGTAAGGCACATCCTTTTTGAATTGTCATGAACACAAGAACAATTACCAAAATTTTGACAAAACTGAGTTTTATAGAACATTTATTTAGCCCATTACATGAAAATAAGGATAATAATATAACTTGGATTACAAAATCTTCAGTTCTACTCAAATTAGGTGATGCAAAAATGAATATACTCCACATCAAAAAAACTACTACTACTAGTATTTTATATGATAAGGGATCCTCCTGCGCTCATGGGAATAATTGACAAAATACAGCTGCTGTCACTTAGCTGATACCAATAAGTGCAAAATAAAATTAAAAATTAGTGAAGCGCTTGTATCACATGAATACAATCATGTATCTCCATATAGTGTAATTATAAATCAAAGTGACCACTATATATAATAAATGTGTGTTAACTCCCTCTAGTGAAAAGAAAAAATAGTGTCAACCAAAATAGCTAAATAACACACATTAGGAAACTAAATATATAGTGCATAAATCAAATATAATGAACAGAATATATATACGTGAAAACAGAATATTGGCCACATACAATGGTGTCTAAATTATACATAAATGATATATGCCATAGGTGAACAAGACAATATCAAAGGTGAAAAAAATATTCCATGCATGTGACTGTGCTTTAAGCTGGAACACACACGTGATCTCCACTTCTAAGTGCAAGTACTCTCCTTCAAATGGCAGCAATGCCTGCTCACCTCCCTTCCTCGACCCACACAGGGCCTCAAAGCAGTTACCACCTACACCACTGAGGTGGTAACTGCTTTGAGGCCCTGTGTGGGTCGAGGAAGGGAGGTGAGCAGGCATTGCTGCCATTTGAAGGAGAGTACTTGCACTTAGAAGTGGAGATCACGTGTGTGTTCCAGCTTAAAGCACAGTCACATGCATGGAATATTTTTTTCACCTTTGATATTGTCTTGTTCACCTATGGCATATATCATTTATGTATAATTTAGACACCATTGTATGTGGCCAATATTCTGTTTTCACGTATATATATTCTGTTCATTATATTTGATTTATGCACTATATATTTAGTTTCCTAATGTGTGTTATTTAGCTATTTTGGTTGACACTATTTTTTCTTTTCACTAGAGGGAGTTAACACACATTTATTATATATAGTGGTCACTTTGATTTATAATTACACTATATGGAGATACATGATTGTATTCATGTGATACAAGCGCTTCACTAATTTTTAATTTTAGTATTTTATATGACCCCTATGATTTGTAAGGACAGCACCAAATCTTCTTTGCATGGAATTAATAAGTTGATGACATTGCAACATCTATGTTTTTCCATTCTTCAAAAACGACTTCTTTTAGAGCCTGGATGCTTGATGGAAAGTGGTGGTTGGGGGGCGGCTTGACCCCCGAGGAGTAGGGTACCATGTTACAGAAAAGTCTTAGATCATGCGTACAAAGCAAGTACTATGTGTATTTGAGGTATTCGTCTGAGATGCGGAAGAGCTCCCAGTAAAACCACCTGGTGTTATGTTCCTCTGATTTGTCCCAGATAACAGAAGTTAGGTCTTCCATCTGTTCAGTGTCATTCACTCTTGCGAGCCAGTGGGCTACAGTAGGGGCTGCCTGTTGTTTCCAGGGGCTTGGCATGCTGCCCGTTCCGCATTTAGAAGATGCTTGAGAAGAGATTTACGATAGTGCTTCTTTGACACGAGAGTGAGATTATGTAGCTCCCTTATCTCCCCCTTATTTTCTCCTCCCATGCTCGTCTCCAAGACTTCTCCAGGGCGTCACCCATCCTCGGCAACTCCCTACCCCAATCTATCAGACTATCACCCACACTACTTACCTTTAGACGATCATTGAAAACCTATCTCTTCAGGGAAGCCTATCCCATCCTTTGCTAATACTGGTATCCTCTACGCTTCCAACCACTCCATCCCCCACAGTTTTACCTATTGTACCACTCACCCCTCCCTCCTAGATTGTAAGCTCCAAGGAGCAGGGCCCTCAACTCCCTCTTGTATTGAACTGTATTGTTACTGTATTGTCTCCCACTACAATGTAAAGCGCTGAGCAAACTGTTGGCGCTATATAAATCCTGTATAATGATACTAATGTAGGACTGCAGCTGGGTTATTGTGCAAGGATATGTCTGTAAGTTTGTGGATGAGACGAAGGACCGGTTACCAGAAAGTCTGGAGTTTGGGGCATTCCCAGAATATATGGAGGATAGTGCCATGGTGTAGTTCGCAATGGTCAGATTGATTAGGAAATAGTTTGGCCATCATGTGCTAATTTTACAAGAGGATTCTTGATATATTCTGCAGAGGGAGGATTTTTGTGCAAAAAAGAGGGTGCGTTCTTTCTGAGGTTCAGTAAAACTCATTTGCAGGTCCCTCTCCCATTTTGTTAGAAAAGATGGATCAGCAGTTGCATGGAGGTCCAACAGAGTTTTGTTGCAATATGAGAGAGACCCAAAGATCGGGCCCCCTCCTCAAAGGAGTGAAGCTGTTGAGGGAAGAGTGCAGGTTTAGGCATAGAACACAAAAAGTGTGAAAGCTGGAGGGCTCTTCAGTAATCCAGTGCAATAGGTGTTCGTCTATCTAATAGAGTCTGAATGGGAATCCAGCCAGATGGTCAAAGAAAATGGTAGGCACGGAGAAGTCCCTTTGGGGTCTGCATTGTAAAACTTGTGTCCATAAGGCCTGGAGGAAGCCTGGGTGTCCAATGATTGGCGTCATAGGCGAAGAAAATCTAGGCAAGGAAGAGAGGCGGAATAACCTGTCTATCTCCGCCAGTGTAGGATCAATCAATGGATGGGTGGCCAAATAGGTAGTGTGCGGCTTGCCTGCCCAAGGTAATCCCGCGAGTGGGGCATGAGCCATCTCCTGTTCCAGCTCAACCCATAATTTTAAGTCGCTGTGTCGACACCAACCCACTACCCGTGTCATATGTACAGCTGTATAGTACAGGGGAGGATCTGGAAAGCCAATGCCACCCTTGAGCTTGGGTCGTAACAGTAGCGCTTTGCTGATATGTGGGCACTTGGCTCACCAAATGAACTGTACGACCGCTGAACGTACAGCATGGACAAAACTCTGGGGTGTCTTGATAGGTAAGGCCTGTAACAAGTACAAGAGTCTAGGCTTTGTATTCATCTTAAGTACATTGCAGCGGCTGAACCAGGAATGGGCGAGGGTGTCCCATTTCCTAAGATTGGCCGCCAACGTTGTCCGGAAGAGCTGTAAATTCAAGGAAAAAACATAATTCAAATTGGAAGGAATTTTCATCCCCAGATATTGTATTGAATGAGTAGCCCATTTAAATGGAAAAAAGGGGCAGAGACTCGCCAGTTTGGGATCCAGTATGGAAATATTCAAAGCCTCCGATTTTTGGAGGTTAACTTTAAACTTATAGCACCATATTGTGTCAACTCTTGTAGCAAGGAAGGCAGAGATGTTAGCGGTTCAGCAATAAAAAAAATAAGAGGTCATCAACATAGGCCACCACTTTGTGTTGGTATGTACCTGCCTGGACCCCACTAATATTGTCTTATTGTTTATATGACAGAATAAAGGCTCAAGAACAAATATTAGGGGTGAGAGGGGGCAACTCTGCCTGGTACCATTTGAGATTAGAAAAAGGCGAAGTCAAATCCGTTCACCCAGACGGTAGGATTAGTGTATAAGGCAGAGACCCATGTCAGGATAGGTGATGGCATTCGGACAGATCAAAGTGTCTCTTGAAGAAACCTCCAGTCCACCCAATCAAACGCCTTTTCAGCATTCGTGGAGTAAAAGAGGGATGCGGGATCTCTTTACTTTCTCGATAACATTTAGTGTTCGAATGGTGTCATCTCTGGCCTCTCTCGTCCGTATAAAACCAACTTGGTCAGTCTCAATGAGACGTTGCATCAGGTCATTCAATTAAGATTTTAGTGAAGAGTTTTAATGTCACTGTTCAGAAGGGATGTAAGTCGATAACTGGAACACATCAGTGGGTCTTTTCCAGGTTTTGGAATCACAGCAATAGAAGCATGTAACATGTCTGGTAGGATACTGGTTTTCTGACCAATCTGTTGGGGTGTACTCATTTATTCACACACACATGTGCATAAACATACATGGTATGTGTGTATAAAAAAAAAGTTCAGTTTATTTAGCATCATAATTTTCATTTTTATTGTATTCATGTATACTAAACCATGTCTTGTTTTATTTACATTTTAGGGTCAGCTGGATCTCCTTAGAAGTGGAGCAGGTCTTTTGTACAGACTGAAAGACACACAGACCGCTGGGTGAGCTGTCATGACTAAGCACTAGAGTGACCCAAAAAACTTTTTTCATTATATATCTATGTGGCTGCTGTGAGTGCTATAATGTACACTAGCAGGATTATTTACATATAGTAAGCAGCGCTGTGTTCTGGCAGCAGTATAAGCCACGCCTCATCTATTGTTGGAAATAAAGAGAGTAGAGTGGAGATCTTCTCTGCTATTCAGAAGAATCCTTGTATTTTTAATAATGAATACAACTCTTCCTCTGATTGGCTGAGATGGAAATAGTGACATCATCCACCTACCTCTCCTGCTTGACAAATCAGAGGGTGTCTTATGTTCATAGATAAAAAGACCTCTTGAATGAGGAGAATTATTATTATTATTATACAGGATTTATGTAGCGCCAACAGTTTGCCCAGCGCTTTACAATATAATGGGAGACAATACAGCAACAATACAGTTCAATACAAGAGGGCCCTGCTCCTTGGAGCTTACAGTCTAGGAGGGAGGGGCTAGTGGTACAAAAGGTAGTAACTGTGGGGGATAGACTGGTAGGAGGAATAGAAGATTCCATTATTAGCTGAGGGCAGGATAGGCTTCCCTGAAGAGATAGGTTTTCAGAGATCGCCTAAAAGTGAGCAGAGTAGGCGATAGCCTTATTAATTGGGGTAGAGAGTTCCAGAGGATGGAGGAAGCTCTGGAGATGAGCATGGGAGGAGGAGACAAGGGAGCTAGAGAGCAGGAGGTCTTGCGAGGAGCGGAGAGTACGGTTTGGGTGATATTTAGGGACAAGATCGGTGATGTAATTTGGGGCAGAGTTATAAATGGCTTTATACGTTATTGTTAATGTTTTGAATTTTATCCGTTGGGTAATGGGAAGCCAGTGGAGGGATTGGCAGAGAGGGGTGGCAGATACGGAATGGTTAAGTAAGGTGGATGAGTTTGGCAGAAGTATTCATGATAGACTGAAGAGGGGATAGCCTGTGATGAGGTAGGCCAATGAGGAGGGAGTTACAATAGTCAAGGCGAGATATAACAAGGGAGTTGCTTAATGGTTTCCGAGGTTAGGAATGGGTGTATCTTGGAGATGTTGCGGAGGTGAAGTCTACAAGATTTGGACAGTGATTGGATTTGGGGGTGAAAGGACAGATGGGAGTCTAGGATTACACCTAGTACCCTGGCATGAGGGGAGGGACTGATGATTGTGTTATGTTAGGAGAAGCACTTTACCTGACTCTCTTTAATTACGGCAGCAGACAGGAATATGCCCATACTGCTGCCAGTACACAGCTCAACTCTGTGTAGCTGACTCTATTTCAGTATATTACAGTACACACACCATGAGCGCATAGTTTATTACTGGAGTTAGTTTGGACCAGCTTGGCACAAAGGAACTATTTTGGCTCAGTTCACTCTAGCGTTGAAAGCAGGCGTTTGAGGGGCAGTTTTAATGCTCCTGAAACACCTATGAAAATGCTACACATGGCAGCACACAGTGCTGTTCACACTGAAGCGTTCGTGGCGCGTCACAATTTACGCCTCATGTCAAGTCAGGAAGAGTTGAAACCTTTCAACGCCTCCCATTCAAGTCTATGGTGACTCCTCAAATGCCTGGCAGACTTTTGTGAGGTGTTTGCGAGGCATTAATACCATTAAGTTCATTATAGGCATTTGTGGTGCAGTTTTAATGCTTGTAAAATACCTCACAACTGCGCATAGGGCATTTGGGGAGCGTTTTTAACGCTTGTAAAACGCCCATACAAAGCTCATTAAATGTCTGTCTAATGCTATAGGGGCGTTTGGGAAGAAGTCAAGTGTGAACAAGCCCTTAAAGTGAAATGAAACCTGGAATTCTACTTTTAGCTGTTCATATGTTTACATTCTGTGTCAAAGCAAAGCACCTGTGTGATTACACTTGGAAGAAAGAAGCCTTTTCCTGAATATGCTGTCACTACATGGGCAGAGTTATCATAGGATTGTTCCTTAATACAGCCTCATGTTCTGTAGAAAACAAAGTACAACTTTTCTAAGCAAACAGTTATTTCAGGGTGTCTCACTCTTCTCTTTTCCATTTGCAGTAAAATGAAGGGATCCGACAATCAGGAAAAGTTAGTGTATCAGATTATCGAGGATGCTGGCAATAAAGGTATTCCTATGTTAACTGGGTGGTTTTTATTACAAATGTTTGTTCAACTAGCAAAAAAATGAAATGGATCTTTCCTAATACCAGATTAAAAAAATGCAGTATTGATAAAAAAATATATAAATACTTATTACAGGACATTTAAAAATGTATAAAAACACATACATAAGTAAATTCATATAGGCCATATTTTGCAACACATACATTAAATAAAATAATTTGATTTCTCCTTGGTTTTATGTTTCCATTTAATTGTATAGTATGTGTAATAAACTTTTACATACACTTTAACTGATGCTCAGCCAAACCTTTCTATATAGGTTTACAGTTTAAAAGCTTCTTTGGGGCTGATAATGTCTTGCATCGCTGCTACTTTAAACTAGGCATACACTCAAAGATTTCTCTAATATCTAAAATCCAAATAGAAATCAAACTGATTCCTCTATCCACACTGAAGAGCTTGGATGGAGGAATCTCCTGTGCCAGCTATTGCATTCAGCAGCCAGCGAGACCTGCAGCTGCTGTATACCCCAAACAGCAAAACCCATCTGATTGGATGCAGTCACTGTCTGGTTGAATGCAGTCACTGTTCGGCTGATCATTTTCCACCTGGCATCTTCTACAAAAGTTGATGCTGACATGGCCACCCACAGTTTGATTTTCGGACAACTCAGCAGAAATCATGTGAATTTCCAGCTATGTATAATCAGCTTTAGATGGTAAATTGAAAGCTGTGGCAATATTTTCCCACATTTTTAAGCAGAGTTTGCATTTGCACACCAAATTTACTGGGAAATCATTGATCATTGATTGATATGGATAACAACTTTGCTTTCAGCAGGTCTTCAGGCAATATGTAGGAGCAGTGCAGCTAAAACTACCGTACATGCATTTTATTTGTCCATGTTTTTTTAGGCATATGGAGCAGAGACATTCGATACAAAAGTAATCTTCCTCTCACTGAAATCAATAAAATTCTAAAGAACATGGAAAGCAAGAAGCTAATTAAAGCGGTCAAGTCAGTAGCGGTAAATTGATTATAAATGTATTTACACTATATATACTTGCACCATATATAAATGTAACATTAATTAAAAAAAAAAAAAAAAAAAAAAAAAAATATATATATATATATATATATATATATATATATATATATATATATATATATATATATATAATTTTTATTTTATTTTTTTGTACGTTAATTATTTTTTATTTATTTATTTTTTTTATATATATGTGTGTGTGTGTGTGTGTGTTTTATTTGTTTTAAGCTTGTGTGTTTTTCATATCAGGCTTCAAAAAAGAAAGTGTACATGCTATATAATGTACAGCCTGACCGCTCCGTGACGGGAGGAGCATGGTACAGTGACCAGGACTTTGAGTCTGAATTTGTCGAAGTATTAAACCAGCAGTGTTTTAAATTCTTGCAAACGAAGGTGATTAATTTAGAATTTTATGTTTGTGTTTGTTTATGATCATATATGTCCATAGTTGGATGTATTACAAATTTGTCATTTTATACAGTATTTGGAAAATTTGGTTGCTCAGACAATATTTTCACCAGGGATTCATAGGTTAAAGCCAGTCTATGTTAACTTTGGACAGAATGGGGAACATTCTCTTTAGGTTTTTATATGCAATATGTGTCCCCAATGGGGTGGATTTTCCCTTACTTGCTGTTGGCACAGGAAGATGAAAATCTCTCCAGTGGGAGCACAGTCTGCAAAAAAAAAAAAACACTTTTTTTTTTTCTTCAATAAAATGGAGAATAGTTAGAACCAGTGTCACTTTGTCCTTGCTGTAGCTTCCTACCTCAGTGTCAGCCATTCTCCTCATTTTTTTTATCTTGCTGCCACAGGAACAGGAAGTGAAGTAAAATTTCCCCAGCTGTGTCATGGACCACAATTTAAAACTTGATAAGTATGTACTCCTTTTTCAAAAGGAAAAAATGACTGGTGTACACTTTTTTGAAGTCCAAATGAAGCCATTTTCTTTTTTTTCACTTGTATGTTTAGAGAATGTTGAAGACTTTAAATCTCTCAGGTTTATTGGGGAGATCTGTCCTCACTGTCTTTCATGGTTAGCACTGCTACTAGGAGAGAAAAAAAAGGGGAAGGCAAAATTTGATCAAAGTCACTATAATAGAAGGATATGGAATATCATCAAAATGAGGCAAAATCTCATCATTTAACAGGTGTCCCCATTTAGGGCTGTCCACTCACTTCCCGTCATGTCTTTGTCATCAGAATGACAGCTGAAAATTTTCTTGCAGGGCATTCCTTAACAGGTAGTCAGGTGTACATAAGTCATCAGTATGTCCCCTTCTTTTAAACATAATCTCATCACTTTTTTCTTGAAACCTTTACAAATATTCAGTAAACTCATTTATAACCAAAAGTGGATATCGCTCATTCATAGAATGTGAATCATGGTGTGCAAGTTATGTTGCCCTTTGGAGTTCTATCTACTTAAGGCTGCAAAGAGAGGTCAGTGATTGGAATATTGCTGTTCATGTGACTCCGACAGGCTATCTCCTGGCTTTTTTCTCCCACAGCCCTCTTCATTTCTGTTGCTGTCTACTAACGTTGAACTCCCAGCAGTTTGTAAAGCAAACTGCTTTGTGCCGTTGTGCAAATGACTCCTATATTTATAAAAAGAACCTCTTTTACTCAGTGATTTTCAAATGATTAACATCACTGTTCAATATAAAGGAAGGCTTACTTTTTTCCCATATTTAACAGGCAGAAGCAGCCAGGGACAGTAAGCAAAACCCAATGATCCAAAGAAACAGTTCTTTTGCATCATCCCATGAAGTCTGGAAATTTATCTGTGAGCTTGGCATCAGCAAGGTAAAAAATACAAGACTAAGTTATGTAGGTGCAGTAGAATCCATCGCTTGTGCCTGTAAGACAATCCGTACAGATCTGGTATTGGTAGATTACTTACCGGGAGCATAGATACATGTGTTGCTGAAAGTGGTTATCCTCTGCTGCATTAATTGTTCCTGGTTAGGTTCAGATCAAAATATCAAAAGGTTTTGATTTGTACATGTGTGTAGAGGTGTGTTTTATTAGTGGTATAAGGACCGTTTTCATGTATAAACGCGTGTTTCCTTTGTGCATTAACATGCGTCTTGACTTGTTTTCCAATACATTTTTAAATTTGTATTTGGAGTGGGTAAAATAAACAGCCATTGACCAAGGCTTTTGATTAACTGTTACTACTGTATCAAAACGTTACTGTTACTTTCCATTGACTTTGACCTCACAACGTACTAAAATGCATAAGTAACATGCATTTTATAGTAGTAACAGTTAATCAAAAGCCTTGGTCAATGGCTGTTTATCTGTATTTTTAAAAAATGCTACACTGCAATGCTGAGATGGGAACAGATGCAATCTTTATTATGGCCCACCACAACCCTTGCAGTTTAGTATGTCAAAATACATGCATTTAACCTCCTCGGCGGTCTGATTATTTCCGATTTTTTTTGTGCTGAAAGCGGTACCATTTTTTTGCATGGAAATATGTAGTTTTTTATTGTAGGCGGTAATTTTTAGGAATAACTCACTGAAATCTGTACGAATAAGAGTCTAGTAAACATCCCGGGTAGGATAAAATTTGAAACCCGAAATCATAAATGATAATTTAATAATCATAAAAAATAATAATATAATAATAAATTTAATTCAATAATATAATCAAACCAAAAACACTGAAATTTGAAATACAGAGGCAAATTCGCACATCGCTGAGCAAAGTCGCAAAATCGTTTTCAGTGTCTGATGACGAATTTCCCCACGAATCATTATCACTCAATTCTGCAAGTGGTTCTGATTTACTATCACTGTTCTCTAGCTGATCTAAAACCGCTTTTGTCGTAAAGGGGCGCTTTTTGGATGCCATGGACTTTTCTAAGTTTCCAGGCAGAAAGAACAGTCAAAATGCAGGCAGGGCACAGGACAAAGCAGTAGGGACAAAATGTATGTGAAATGCATTGAAACAGCAATGTTTTACTATGTAATAGTCATTTTAAAAAAAATGACATTTTTTAAAAATTTCAAATTTGCCGCCGGTTCCGGCGCCCGTACGTCCCGACGTCACAGGGACCGGAACACGGAAGCCGGATGCCGGCATCGGCCGAAGGAGATGGCCGGGGACGCTGCAGGGGACACATCGTGGGAGCGAAGGACAAGGTAAGTGCTGCAGGGACTCCCTGAGCAACGCCACATGGTAAGCCTGAGTGTAGCTCGGGGTTACCCGCTTTTGGTACTGACATTTTACCCCGAGCTACACTCGGGAATACTGCTAAGGAGGTTAAACACAACAGTATAAATGGACCATGAATCTTATTTTTTTTTTGTCAGAAAACCTTTTACTTTCCTTTCAGAATCAACATTTTTTATGGGACACTATACTACAAAATACTCCCACAAATGTGGGCCATTAATTGCAAACAAGATTTGTTAATTTGTACACACAAAAAATTATTTTTCCTAACAAATTCATTCAAGACCATGTAGCAAAAATGAATACACGCCAATGAAAGTCAAAGTGCCTGGTCATACCGGTGCGATTTGCGAATTTAAATCACACCTGAAATCGTATATAATGAATGTGCAGGTCACTGTCTTAACATGTGAGATTTGCTGCAGCGAGATTTCTAAAGTATAAATTGCAAGAACTACCGGGACTTTGTACTCTGGACTGATGAGACCAAGATAAATGTTTTTGGAACTGATGACTGCAAAACTGTATGGCGTTGCAAAGGTGAGAAGTACAAAGAAAAATGCATGGGGCCTCCAGTGAAACATGGTGGTGGCGGTGTCCTTCTGTGGGGCTGCATGAATGCTGCTGGTGTTGGGGAGCTGCATTTCATTGATGGTATCATGAATTCACAGATGTACTTCTCTGTATTTAAAGAGAAGATGCTACAATCACTCCATGCCTTTGGTCATCATGCACTTTTTCAACATGACAATGATCCAAAACACACATCTAAGGCCACTGCTGCATTTCTGAAGAACAGGGTGAAAGTGATTCAGTGGCCAAGTATGTCTCTGAACCTAATCTGAACACCTATGGGGAATTCTGAAGAAACAGGTTGAGCATCAATCTCCATCCAGCATCTAGGCTCTAAGTCCTCATACACACTGGATGTTTTTACAGCGGCTGTTTTTGGCTTTTGACGGGTTTTTTTCCTACAGCCAGTAAACTCCCCAGCATGTTATCCTATGTGTCCATGCACACAGACTGTAATCAACGTTTTTTGGCTGGAAAAAAACCCAGGACTATTGGGTTTCTAGAGGAGTTTTTTTAGCTGTAAAAATGCTGTAACGCTGAAAAACGCGTAAATCGCGGCAAACCAGCGTTTTTGGACTTTTTTTGGTAAAAAAAAAAAAAAACCTCTGAAAAACAAATGTGAAAAAAACGTGGCAAAACGCTAATACTAAAAAATGATGAACAACTCACGTTTTTAATGTGACTTCACACAGCTAACGTTACCAGCGTTATTAAAACACCCCATGTGCATGGAGCCTAAAAGAGGTCGTTCTTGAAGAATGGAAAAAGATAGATGTTGCAATATGTCACCAACTTGTTCATTCCATGCCTAGAAGACTTGGTGCTGTCCTTACAAATCATGGAGGTCATAATACTAGATGGAGTAGTTTTTGTTGTGGGGTGTATTCATTTTTGCATCAACTAATTTGAGCAAAACCTGAAGATTTTGTAATCTAAGTAATATTACTAACTTTACTTTCATGTAATGAGCTAAACAAAGGTTCTATAAAACTCAGTTTTGTCAAAATTTTGGAAATTGTTCTTGTGTTCATGGAGATAATGATTAAAATCTTACTTTTCAAAAGGGGTGTACTCATTTATGCTGAGCACTGTAAATCTGGAATAGAGGTGGGTTATTTGATGAGTTACAGAAATGTAAGCAGCTAATGAAGAGCACTAAATATAACCAACCTTTTTTAACCTTTAACTTGCAATGAACTAGAAGTCCAGAATTTTACATCCTTGTTTCTGTTGTGTCCCTGCCCACCCACTCCTGTAGCATATTGATTGACAGGACAGCTCAAGAGAGCAGAAATTTTCATATTTCATGCCAGTTTTCCATCCCATGCCTTAGGAGTGCCATGTACTAGGGATGCACCGAATATTTGGTTGCCAAAACATTTCAAAAAGAAAAAAAAAAAAAAGCACCGATACAGGTGCCGAAAAACTCTCAGCCACCGGCCGCCGTTCGGTAGTTCTCAGCCTTACCTGAGAAACCATCGATCCAGACACTGGGCATAGAGATGAGTGAAGGAAAGATGGCCACCACTGGACCGATGTCACTTCCCGTTCCGGCCATTTTTTTTTTTTTTTTTTTTAAAGCACTAGATCAATGCTTTTTTTTTTTCGTTAACATGCTTTAAATTGTAGAGGAGAGATGTGGGGTCTTATTGACCCCATATCTCTCCATAAAGAGGACCTGTCACTAATTATTTCTATCACAAGGAATACATGCATTTCTTGTGATGAGAATAAAAGTGATTACATTTTTTTTAAAGGGACAGTGCAAAAAACAAAAACCTTAAATAAATTTAAAAAAAGAAGTTTAAAGTGCCCCGTCCCCCCCGTGCCCGCACGTAGTGATGAGTGCATATGTAGGCCATGCCCACATATGTAAACAGTGTTCAAACCATACATGTGAGATATCGCCACGAACGTCGGAGCAAGAGCAATAATTCTAGCACTAGACTGCTCTGTAACTTTACGCTGCTAACCTGTAGAAATTTTTAAAGCATCACCCATGGAGATTTTTAAGTACCGCAGTTTCACGTCATTCCACGAGCGTGCACAATTTCAGAGCGTGACATGTTGGGTATCTATTTACTCGCCGTAACATCCTCCTTCATATGTTACAAAAAAATTGAGATATATATATATATATTTTTTTTTTTATTCTGTACATTTTTTTCCATAAAATATATATTCATTTTTAAAAACTACGCATTTTGGTTTTTGGCCAAGTGCATTTTGAATTTTCGTTTTTGGAACCAGAATTTTCATTCTACCATGTACACAGGCTATTTATATTATAAACCTCAGTTTGCATTTACAGAAAAGAATAATGAAGACATTTTAGAGTTAAACAGCGTTGAGTAGAGTTTTTCTTAAATCCAACTGCAAAGTTAAATTGGTTCTTAGGGCTCATTCACACTTCAGTTAGATCACATTCACTGGAAAGAGAGGAAGGAATAGAAGTTCCCACCTCTCTTCTCTGACCTCAGAAACTGGAAGTGAGGAGGATTTTATCATTTCTGGTTTGTTGTTGATAAGCTGTTACCACCTTGTACAAGCATCTGACCAAACCAATCTCTGCTTGATCAGATGCTTTGGAGGCCAGAGGAGAAATCTAAAAGACCCCAGATCTCTCCATAAAGAGGATCTGTCATGACAGCTGCTATCACAGTGGTTGTTATTCCCTTGCGAAAACAATCAAGTTCAATATAAATAAATAAAGGTACAGTGTAAAAATAAATAAATAAATTAACCAAAAAATTAATTAAAAAAAAAAACGCCCCCATCCCTCTCCATGCTCCTGTTAAATGCGAACACGCACGTTGGTCCCTCGTGCAAATATAAATGGTGTTCGCACAACATACGTGAGCTAACGCCGTGAATGTCAGAGTGAGAGCAATAATTCTAATACCAAACCTGTGTAACTCTAAACTGTAAAGGCTTTTAAAGTGTCACCTATGAAGATTTTTAGGTACTGTAGTTTTTTGTGTTAAAACCTGTGTTTTCATACTCTACTACATGCTATATTGGATGATAGCAGAAACAACAAAATGTATGTGTGATTTTAGAAATAAAATTTTGTAATCCTTCTTTAATCATTTCTTTTTCTAAAAGGTTGAATTATCAATGGAAGACATAGAAACTATTCTAAACACTCTGATTTATGACGGGAAGGTAGAAATGACAATAATTGCAGCTAAAGAAGGGACAGTGGGTAGTGTTGATGGACAAATGAAACTCTACAGAGGCGTGAACCCAATCATACAGCCAGCAGGTTTAGTGCGTACTCCTTGTGGCCTGTGCCCGGTAAGTTGGCCTATGCGACTTGTAACTTCTCAGTTTACAGTTTTAATTTTAATCTTTGTGTACTTGCTCATGTCTGTATGTGCTTGCTGTATGTTTCTCTTCCCCTGCTCTTCTAACAAGAAAAGCAGTGCTGACAGATTGCTGGTGAACATTAGCAATTCCCAGTAGTGTTGGTACTTGCTCATTGTTTGGAGACATCCAGGGGTTTATTTACTAAAGCTGGAGAGTCCAAAATCAGACTCCCTTCTGCATAGAAACCAATCAGCTTCCAGGTTTCATTGCCAAAGCTTCATTGAACAAGCTGAGGTTAGAAGCTGATTGGTTTCTATGTAGAAGGGAGTCTGATTTTGGACTCTCCAGCTTTAGTAAATAAACCCCCCAGTGTCTGTAATGCTTTTAAAATACAAAAAAAAATTGCAAAGGAGAATGTTTAGATTAGGGATGCACCGTTATATCAGCTGAAAATTAAGGTTTTTACCATTTTGGCGATAAAGAAAAAAAGGTGCTGAATAATGGCATGCTGCGTTCTATTGACTTAAATCAAAAATGCCCCCCTAGTAACGTCAGCGCAAACACGCGTCCCCTGGACGTCAGCGCAAACACGCGTCCCCTGGACGTCAGCGCAAACACGCGTCCCCTGGACGTCAGCGCAAACACGCGTCCCCTGGACGTCAGCGCAAACACGCGTGCCCTGGACGTCAGCGCAAACACGCGTGCCCTGGACGTCAGCGCAAACACGCGTGCCCTGGACGTCAGCGCAAACACACGTCCCCTGGACGTCAGCACAAAAACAAATTAAAGTAATTCTAAAGGCATAAATTTAAAAAAAAAAACATGTAAATACTTACCTAGTTTGTGCAGTGGTTTTGCACAAAACAGCCTGGATCCTCCTCTCCTCAGGTCCCCGCCGTTTCTCCTGGCCTCTCCCTCCTGTCGGGTGCCTCCACAGCAACCAGCTTGCTTTTGGGGGCACCCAAGAATGCACACTCCTTAGCCACTGCTCCATGTGTCCATTCACACATGGAGCTGTGGCTCTTCCCCGCCTCCTCTCTCTTCTCATTGGCTCAGTGGCTGTGATTTCCAATGAGAAGAGGGAGTTTGCTGGATCAAGAGGGAGCTTAGATATTAGGGGCAGCCTGGGGGGATGCTGCACAGAGAATGCATGAAGGTAAAAAACCTTCAGCCTTTACAACCACTTTTAATTTAATTTTTTTTTTTTTTTTTTAAACTGTCACACTTTCAGTTTTCGGCCAAGTGCGTGCATCCTAAATTTTCGGTTTTGACAGCAGAATTTTAATTTCAGTTCACCACTAGTTTAGATGTATGAATTCATCCTTGCACCTTTTTCTGGATCAAGGGACAAGCAGAATTAAAGCGTTATTAAACATAAAACCAAAAATATACTATATTACAGCTTGCCGATCATTAGATGTAGTGGCTGAATTAGTTTTCTTTCTTTTTTTTTAGGCTGTTTGTTTCTCTGTTTTCACTTGGTGATCTGGCCAGTAACATGCCTCCTGAGTTATACAGACACCACTCTGGATGAATGAGCACAGGGGGCAGATTTAGACAGTAGCATGGAGCAGCATTGTCAATCTGGGAGGAGGAGAGTGTTTAGATGGATGAGCAGAGTTAAATACACTAACAAGTTGAATCTGAACTCCAGCTAATATTTTATATTCAGTTACAGCAAATATTTTTTTTCTTTTGGGATAAAGGTTTTACAAAAATAAATAAAAGCTGATCATTTTAAGCACCCTGTCAGTGGTAAAATGGTTTGACTCGCCTCCTGTAACTGCAAGAGAGCTTTTCTGTTGCAAAACACCAGACTTAGTGGCAGGATCACCAGATGAAAATAGAAGAAAGCCTAAAAAAAGGAAATTAGTGCAACCATCCCATATAAGAATTTGTAAGCTGTAATATAAAAATGTTTACTTTTGGGTTTAATACTGCTTTAGAGTATTGTAGAGCCTATACCAGTATGATTATTATATTAATATATATCTATTGTTTGTACCTACATTTAACATTACTTTTGTTTTTGTTTACCTGGACAGGTTTTTGATGACTGTCAGGATGGAGGCGATATTTCCCCATCTAATTGTATATATATGTCTGAGTGGCTGGATTTTTGATGGAGATTGGAGATATTAACACAGTGCAAGATAGCTACCTGTAAGCGTGACACACTTTGGTGTATCCGATTGTACAAACTGTACCAAAATTATTTATTTTATATGTTTACAATTTTTATTGCTATTCAGATTCCATTTTTGATATCATTTCTGGTAAAAGTAGGGCAAAATCAAAGAGCAATGTAGTTTTATTTAATTCTTCACCTGTCAGGCTCTAAATAAACATTACAAAAAGAACCATAAATGCTATGAAAATGTATTTATTATACTAAATAAATGTTAGTAAGTTGTAAACATTTTGCATGTCTTTTTTTTTTTTTTTTTTTTTTTTTTTTTTTTTTTAGGCTAGGTTCACACTGGTGCAGTGCAATTTATTTTATTTTATTTTTTTTAATACTTTATTTTTATTTTCAAAGACATACGGAAAAGGTACAAAATTTGCAACAGTATACAGGATAGTCAGATGCAGGGTAAGGTAAGATACTGTATGCATTCACGTTTAACCAGAGCTCAAGCCATTAAATTAATTCAATCACATGCAACCACCAGTATTTGAAAGAATTATATTATAATCGAAGGTGAACTCCAGCCTATTCGATCATCCTGAAATATTAAGAGCATTCCCTGTATGTTTCTTGAGTATGAAAAATTAAAATAAAAAAAAAAAATGAAGATTAAAGAAATGGGGTAAAGAATGAGTCCCTCAGTGCAGCTTTAAGGGCCCTGCACACGTGAAAAAAAAAAAAAAAAAGACGAGGAAACCAGTATATATTTTATAAGAAAAACACTTTTTTTCAAAATGTTTGGACTTTTTCATTTACATAGCAAAAAAAAAAATAAAAATCCCAGTGGTGAATAAATACCACCAAAATAAAGCTTTATTTGTCTCAAAAAAATGCTAAAAAATTCATATGGGTACAGTGTTGCATGACCGCTCAATTGTCATTCAAAGTGTGATAGCACTGAAAGCTGAAAATTGGCCTGGACTGGAAGGGGGTAAAAGTGTCCAGACTGGAAGTGGTTAATCTAAGTTCTGTGTCATCCCATGAAAAGTGACCACACACATCTCTAGACAGACTCAATTGTGTGCCTCTTGAAGCTTTTGCTGTACTTTCTGACTCCTTTCTGTATTTTCAATTGCATTTAAATGAGGCAGGTTTGATTTGCACAGTTGCTGGGAAACATCTTATTAGTGCTATTTTGTTTTTTTGTAGATCAGAGTTCAGATGAGCAGCATTTTGTTTTCCAATCAGCAGAGGATCTGTTCACTGGATCAGAATGGAATGGATGTCATATTTGTGATTGCATCCATTTACCTCTAATCCATCATGTTTAGGACTGAAAAACAAAAAAAAAGGATTTCAAACTTTTTTTTTTTTTTTTTTTCCTAAACCTAAAGTGACTGGAGGTAGTCGGATGTAAAGGACGCACACCCATTTACATTCACCTTGTTACAAACTAACATTTAGCTACCTCACATGCTGATCTGATGGAAATGTCTGTCTGAAAGGACCCTAATGAGGTTGTTCCAGCGTCGCCAACAGTGATTTTGTAGGATGGCCAGATCATTGACAAATGGGCCTGGGTGTACCAGTGCACAGCTGAAAACTAAAGTACTGAGCGGGTATGCTATATTTACTGCATACATCTTAAGTCCTCATGCACACTGGACGTTTTTACAGTGGCTGTTTTTGGCTTTTGATGTTTTTTTTTTCTACAGCTAGTAAACCCCCCCCCCAGCAATGTTATCCTATGTGTCCATGCACACATAGAATGTAATCAGTGTTTTTTGGCTGGAAAAAAAACCCAGTACTAGTGGGTTTCTAGAATTTTCTAGCTGTAAAAATGCTCTAATGCTGACAAACGCGGTAAAATGCCGCAAACCAGCATTTCTGGATGTTTTTTTGATTAAAAAAAAAAATTTGGGGGTAAAAATAAAAAGCAGGAAAACACTGCTAAACGTAGCAAAGTGCTGCTAAACGCTAATACAAAAACACTAAAAAAACTGAAAAACTCATGTTTTTAACATGACTTTACAAAGCTAATGTTACCAGTGTTATCAAAACATCCAGTGTGCATGAGGACCAAGACATCTGTTTCAGTTTTGGCTGGAATTTTAAAAAATATCCAAATTCAACTTTTTACAAAGGATTGTTGGTGGTTTTGCCTGTATTCCCTGAGATTGGTGTGTTGTGGAAGTGCCATATTTGAGTAGTCTAAAGCTAGATATATAAATGTAGATACTCTCAGTAGTCCATGGACAAAAATCACTCAATTCTCCCATTCACGTTAATACAGTGAATAGAGGAATCTCACTTGCCATCTAGTTGTTAGCCACTGCTGCCTGTATACCTGAACAGTGACTGTATTTGATAGGGTGGCAAAGAAAGAGAGAAACAAATGCTGCTGCACTCCCACACAATTACCTATATATTATATATACTCAATAAAAAAATAAATAATACTCAATAAAAAATAATAATAAATATACAGCTATTATGCACAATAATATGATGTTCATTTAATAGTACTTTTAGTCCCAAATTTTAGGGACTTGAGCACATTATATACATTTATATTTATCTTTTTTTTTTTTTTTTGTGGTCACCTATCACGTTTTTGATACACATATACGTGGAAGGACTTTGGTTGGTCCTATGTTTTTGTCTTTAGTCAGGTTTTTATCCTGAACGTCTTATTGTTTATTTATAAAGGCACCATTTCTGCCAGTTGTTAGTCCTTTTTCACTGCAGAGTTGTGGTCATAATTTATACTAAGTGTTCACACTAGCATTATGTGCAGGCGGCAGAGAGGCATTTGGGAAGCGTTTTTACCGCTTCCCAAACGCTTCTGCCAATTCTGCACATTACACATGGTGCTGTTCTAACGGGAGCGTTTGTGCCGCGGCAAAACAGACGCCTCTGGTCGAGTCAGGAGCCGTTGAAGCCTCCTATTCTAGTCTATGGTGCCGCTCTGCAAACGGCTGGCGTTTGCGGTGCAGTTGCGGGTGTTTGCGGAGCGGTAACACCATTCAAACTGCATTATAGGCATTTGTGGGGTGTTTTTAACGCTCAGCAAATGCCTAGCAACTGCCGCTAAACCGGTCCAACGCTTGCCAAACGCTATAGGGGCATTTGGCAAGCATTGGTAAAACAGCCAAGTGTGAACGAGCCCTAACCCTGTTTAGGGACACGTGTTTTTGCACTGTTTCTTTTTTACATGTAATCACATATTTGGTGTTTTTTTTCCATATGGGTGTAGATTCTGCATATGATTGCACATTATTGTGAATAATGTAATTGTGAATAAAGATGTATATACATCTTACACAGCGGACTGTATAAGAGGATTATTTATTTTTTTGAGTATATATAGTTAATTGTGTGGGAGCGCAGCACCATTTTTTTTTTCTCTCTTTCTTTGCCATTCTATCCAGATGGATAGCCAAGAGATAGCAGCTTCCCAAGCTTAGTATATTGGTGTATTCTGGGTAGCGCAGGTGGATCATATATTATTTGATAGGGTGCAGTCATTGTTTGGCATGTCGAATTTTACAATCGACTTTATTGCTGACAGGACCATCCACAGCTCTGTTTCTGCTGAGTCAGTTATAATTTGAGCTGAGTATGGCTAGCTTTAGAATGAAAGACTACTTCCACTTTTGTTCAGCCTCTGTCTCCTATGAGCTTAACCACAATAGATCTGTGTGCAGGGCTGGGGAGGAGAAAGGCCTCTGACCTCATGATACAGAAAGTTTTCAGGAATATTTTCTTGGCAGTACCAAGAGGGATCAGGCTCTTCTTCACTAAGGTGATTCACACACTTTACAAAGCTGCATGTGGAAAGCAGATTACACCATTAGAATAACAGACTTGTCATTCAAGCTCCACTTTAACCAAATTGAAATAACTTTTTAATATAAATAAGAACATCGAAAGGAATCAGCATATTTATGTAGACTTTGGGATCAGTTTCTTCACTGCATTCAGCAGGTCGTGGAATTCTGTATTCTGGAAATGTCCACGGTCATCATATTTATGCAGCTCTGCATCTAGGTTATCAGCCACTTGCTGCTGCTCACTCCATGGCAGGAATGGATCATCTGTGGAACCAAACTGAATTATATGGCGACAGTTTGCTTTTATCTTCTCCCATTGCCAGGGACGGTTGAAGTATCCTAGATGTTTGAAAGTTTAAAGAAAAGAATCCTTTAATAAATGTTTAACTGTCAGAACTTTTGCATTTCTTTCTTTAGAAAAAAAGAAAACAAAAATAATTGCGCTCGGTGTCTAATCTTATTTAAAAATAGAAAAAAAAAAATTACACCAGTTGCAGCTGCATGCAACACCACATCCACACACAAAATGTGATAACACTACTTATTGCTGCACTGCTCTTTTAACCCCTAGACAGTGAGCATACACAAACTTGCAACCTCTTGGTGTCTGGGCCTTGACGCCGAGTGGCCGTATATTTGCGTACCATTTGAAAATTCTTATGTGCAGAGCGCGTGCTCTGCTCGCTCCCAGCACATTTGTCCGTGACTCACAGAAAGGTCCCGATCTCCCCTTGCAATCGGGACCTTTTCCGATCATGTGACTGCCGTGACAAATCACGGCAGTCACATGACCCTAAAAGCCCACCCTGCCTCCCTGTTTCTGAAACCTCCTAAAGGGCCTCGAGGCGCCGGCGCAAAGGGGTTAAATAAATATTCCAAAGTGCAAGTGACACAAATGTGCAAAAGTGCACTGTGCCTTTAAAAAAGTCACATATGATATACCAAATTATAAAAACGTACAAATATACAGGTAAATAAGAACCACAGTAATTAAAGTGGTTGTAAACCTCAGACATGAAATTTGAACAAAGTATACACCTCTATAATGTGTACTTTCTCAAGAGCACTAAATGTCATGAGTCACTTCTGACAAGTATTCCTGACACTGAGAAAAATGATGACGGGAGGGATCACCAGCAGATTGACAGCCTCAGCATTGTTCCTGTGAGCTGTGTGTGTGTGTGGGGGGGGGGTTCTCTTCCCTGCAATCAGCTCTCCGAGCTCTCCTCATTGATGTAACTTCAGCTCCCCACCCCCTGCTTTTCAGAGCTGAGATCCTGTGTAAATTCTGCACTTGGATGTAGGGGACAGATGGCCGTGACTAAGCAGGTTCATAATAGGCCCGCACCAACGTGTTTCATCATAAAAAGACGTTTTCAAGGCAGTCCCCTTGAAAACGTCTTTCTCTGATGAAACACAATGGAGCTATAGCTGACGTCATCACGTTCCGGGGCCTGTTGTTGGTCTATTGATATACAGCTCTGTTTGTGTATACAAGGGGTGTTCCAAGTCAAACCGGGACTTTTGAGTTAATATAATAAAAACAAATTTCAAGGAGTAGAAACTGCACTTATTTTTACATACTCCCCTGTTACATTTATACACTTATCTCCGCGTTTAACTAATGCCTGGAAATCTTAGGCATAGAAAGATTTGTCAGTACACCTGAACCATCCTAGGACAGCCTGCTCAAACCCCTCGTGTATTGTATTGTTACCGTTTTGTCCCCTTGCTATTGTACAGCGCTGAGCAAACCCTTTAGTGCTATATAAATACTGTATAATAATAATAATTTTGTCGTCATTGTGTTCACCGTTCCCACAGAAAGATTTGTCTCTTGTGCAATTTCACAATAGGTTCTGTGTCTGTTATTGAGGATCAGGTGTTCCACGTGCTGAATGTTCACAGGAATGACTGCTGTGGGCTGGAAACCACTATGGCTAGGATTGTCATGGACGTACAGCCATCTTTAAAACATTACATCATTCAAATGTTTTACTGTGGCTGAGCATCTCATCACCATACTGTGCTTGAAGTCTTCCGTAGATATCCACGGATTTTACGCCTTCGTTCACAAGAAATGTCATCACCACACGCTGTTCCATGTACGCACTAACACGGTTGTCTGCCATCTTGATTAACAGTCTCTGGCCTGGCCCACATCATGTGCGCTGCCCATCAGTAATAGAACACACTTGCCACTTACTACTGCTTGTAGTACCGTCACACTAGCATTCCTTTTTATGCCTGTAAACTTAAAAGTCCCAGTTTGATTTGACCCCCCCCCCCCCCCCGCACATAATGTGAGTACCCTTTTAATGCAAATAAAATAATAGTGTTTGCGGTTTTACACCATGAGGTTTTTGTGATCCATCTCTTTATCAGAGATGGAGGCTTGTGGTTCCCTATAATACAAAAATCACCAGCGCCAAAAATTAATGTGAAATAATTCCCAATATAATATGTGGTTCCCTATGCTTGGTCCATATGGGAGTACAAGTTGTATAAAGCTTTTTTCATCAAGCGCCATTAGACTGCCTATAATCTGGGGTCTAAATCTCTGGCAAGAGGCATTTTACATGTAGTGGAGGAGGCAGAAACCATGGAGATACAGGGGTTGAACAAAATTATGGAAACACCAGATAAGAGAACGAAATCATTACCTAATATGGTGTTGGACCACATTTGTCATCCAAGATGGCCTGAATTCTCCAGGGAATTGTCAAATACATGTATATGTGTGCTAGTCTGAACAGTTTATTACAGCACAATTTGCACTTTGGTGGTGTTCGCACTTCAATGAATATACAGGATTTGAAGACACACATTAAATGAATTTTATTTTGATTAATTACTGTGGTTCTTATTTACACTGCTCAAAAAAATTAAAGGAACACTTTTTAATCAGAGTACATTGACATTTTTTTCCTTAGTCATCTTTTCTGACGATTTTTCACTAGTTTTGCATTTGGCCAGGGTCAGTGTCACTACTGGTAGCATGAGATGATTCCTGGACCCTACAGAGGTTGCACAGGCAGTCCAACTCCTCTAGGATGGCACATCAATACGTGCCATTGCCAGAAGGATTGCTGTGTCTCCCAGCACAATCTCAAGAGCATGGAGGAGATTCCAGGAGACAGTCAGTTACTCTATGAGAGCTGGACAGGGCCATAGAAGGTCCTTAACCCATCAGCAGGACAGGTATGTGCTCCTTTGTGCAAGGAGGAACAGGATGAGCACTGCCAGAACCCTACAAAATGACCTTCAGCAGGCCACTGGTGTGAATGTTTCTGAACAAACAATCAAAAACAACCTTCATGAGGGTGGCCTGTGAGCCTGACGTCCTCTAGTGGGCCCTGTGCTCACTGTCCAGCACCATAGAGCTCGATTGGCATTTGCCATTGAACACCAGATTTGGCAGGTCCGCCACCGGCACCCTGTGCTTTTCACAGATGAGAGCAGGTTCTCCCTGACCACATGCGACAAACGTGAAAGGGTCTGGAGAAGCTGCGGAGAACATTATGCTGCCTGTAACATCATTCAGTATGACCATTTTGGTGGTGGGTCAGTGATGGTCTGGGGTGGCATATCCATGGAGGGATACTCAGACCTCTACAGGCTAGACAATGGCACCCTGACTGCAATTAGGTATCAGGATGAAATCCTTGGACCTATTGTCAGACCCTACGCTGGTGCAGTGGGTCCTGGGTTCCTCCTGGTGCACGACAATGCCCAGCCTCATGTAGCGACAGTATGCAGGCAGTTCCTGGAGGATGAAGTAATTGATACCATTGAATGGCCCCCACACTCACCTGACCTAAATACAATAGAACACCTCTGGGATATCATGTTTTGGTCCATCCGATGACTCCAGGTTGCACCTCAGACTGTCCAGGAGCTCAGGGATGCCCTGGTCCAGATCTGGGAGGAAATACCCCAGGACACCATCCGTCGTCTCATTAGGAGCATGCCCGACGTAGTCAGGCATGCATACAAGCACATGGGGGCCATACAAACTACAGAGTGCCATTCTGAGTTGCTGCAATGAAATTTCAGCAAAATGGACTAGCCTGCTGCATAATTTTTTTCACTTTGATTTTTGGGGTGTCTTGGAATTTCGTCCTCTGGAGGTTGATAATTTTCATTTCCATCAAATGATGGGGCATCCTTACATTCCTAACACATTACCCAGTCCATATCCGTATAGATATCCAGCATGAGTTTTTTCCCCATTGAGATCTGATGTGTTTTCAAAGTGTTCCTTTAATTTTTTTAAGCAGTGTATTTATCTCTATATTTGCACATTGGTTAACAAGGAACTTCAGTTGGGTTTTTTTTTTAAGTCAGCAGCTACAAATGTAGCTGCTGACTTATAGTGCTGCTTCACACTGATGCAGTGTAGGATTCGCAGAGAATTCTGTGCGTTTCTTGCACCACATCAGAATTGCACTCAGTTCATGCGAACCTCTACGGGTGTCTATGGTAAGTTAACGACACCCCAAAAAAGTTTGCAGAACGCAGTGTGATTGGGATCCTATTCCAGTGTGAACAAAAGGTGAATGCATACATAAAATGAATGGCTCCAATCAAATTGCAAATAATCGCATGTGATTTGAACAGGAAAGCAGTGCAAATCCTGTCCAAAACACATGTGATTTCCCGCACTGCAGTAGTGTGAACTGGCAACTAAAAAATCAGGTGTTTACCAATGCCTGGAGTCCAGCGCTGTCTTTGTCTTCCTGCAGATGGTTTTCTTACTACTGCAGTTCCCCAGCGCCATCATCTTGGACATGGGAGCTGGCTCCCCACTGCACATGCGCAATGGTCTGTGAATAGTCCTGCAGCCTCCTGTGATATGTCCTGGGACGGGGTGGGGCAAACAGCATAGTCACCTAGATGAGGATTATGGGAGCGGGTACTGATAAAAATCAGCACTCGCTCCCCCCCAAAAACAACTGTAACTTGGTTGCAGGCTGGGGGGGGGAGTGGGGTGTGAACCAGTGGTACTTCACTTTTTGAGTGATGTTTCACTTTAAGTCGTAAAAAATGGTGCAATCACATGATTTAACCGCCTCCCGCCCGCCAGATAGTACAATGACGGGCGCAAGGTGGTTCTCTCATTCTAACCGTGCATGCGCGGCTCCGGAAGCACGCGGCGAACGGCGGTGCGTTGTGTCCCTCGAAACAGCGGATCACCGATCAACAAAAAGAGCCGAAGATGTCGGCTCGGTCATGTGATCAGCTGTGTCCAATCACAGCTGATCACATGTAAACAGGGAAATGCCAGTTATCAGCATTTCCCTCCCCACGAGCTGTCACGCTGACAGCTCGTGAGGAGAGGAGAGCTGGTAATCGGCTTCAAAGTGCGAAAGCGCTGAAAGCTGGAAATTGGCCTGGGCAGGAAGGGGGTATAAGTGCCCTGAAGGCTAGTGGTTAAAGTGAAACTACAGCCAAGTAGTAAGTACCTGATCTCTAAAAACTTTAAAGGAAATACTGTATATGATCAATATACACTTTCATTTTAAACATCAGTATTGTAATAACAACAGAAAACAATACTTTTATTTATTTCCTGGATTCCCTGAATGCTTTGCAACTTCTCTGCTGTTTGCTTTCAATTGCAAAGGACTGCATATCCCATGCTGCTTTGCAAGCCATGACTCCTGTACTGGCTGCCTCTAGAAACTGTAGTTCAGAAGGCAGGCTCTATGAATTCTGTGACACAGCAGTGCCTATCAACAGGATATAGTGAATACATGTCACAGAATTCAAGGAGGTAAAAGTGTAGGGATCTTCGCAAAGTAATGCCGGCCATACATGGGTTGAAATTCAACCGATTTTTTTTGTCCGAAAATTGGACCTAAGAATAATGGCCAATCTTCGCTCTGTTAGTGGGTCAATGATTTTCGTGGTTCCTCCCCTTTTCAGTGATCGGGCATGTTGGAAAATTTGTGACCGATTTTCACTCAATGATGGTCAAATCGTACGATCGTTTTTCCCAAAAGAATATGTGGAAGGAACAGAAGTTTCGCCTGTTATATGGGGTGAACTTTATGGGGTCGGCCAGTTTTCTAAATCATTGATGGCACCATCGGATTACCGAGCAAACAAAGTTTTCGATTTTTGGTTGAACAATTGTTCTGAATTCGACCCATGTATGGCCTGCATTCGTTTACAAACTTTACAGTGGTTCAAAATAATAGGTAGGCTAGACATAAATGAAAGAAAAAAATATTTATAGGACTGAGAATAGTAGGAAATACTGAATCCTACAGGAACTGTAATCTCCATCTTTTTAACATAATCATATTAAAAAGTAGGACATTTCTTTAACCCCAGCACAAAAAAACGAAAAATAAAAGCCTTACCACTCTTGCGTTCATTATCATCTCCCAAATCAGATGTGTAAGCTGCCACAAGAATGATTGCATAAACTGGATGTTTTTCAGCAAACCTGTTGAAAATTGACATTGATAATCCATTCACAAGATGCTCTCATCAGCTTAATTAGAACTGTTGCAAGTACCTACTCAATATGGAATTCTAAAGTGGAACTCCAGGAAAACAGCTTAATGCTCAATTCACATACATCCAGTATATGTGGTCTGTTTTCAGCCTATCATACAGTTTGTAACTTTGGCCTGTTATTCTTGGGAAATGCAAACTGCTGCTAGAAAGGAAGAAAACCCCTCTACTTTACTACATCAGTTGCCTGTTCACCGTACAGAACTAATGAGGGTAGTTAATTAACAAATAGTCATGCTGGAGGACAAGAAGTGACATAGCAAGCTTCAATACCTAAACAGGATATAATCCTGTAGGGCCATCAGGTCCTGTTTTGCCACTCTTATATTTGCCCCTCCTGGTGTGCAGGGCCATATCCAGTAAATGTTTGAGATCCTTCGGGATACCCGTTTTTTTCTTTGCTCTTCTGGGTAATTTGCACGATAGTCAGAAGATAAGTAATGTATATAGGATTGTACGGTATATGTTTTTCTTTATACTGCCTTGATATGTTGGGAGACTTCTTATATAAAAAAATCAGTAAAAAAAAAAGTGAGGTAGTAGTAAGTACAGTTCTCCATACCTCATGGCTGCAGCTGCTCCAGAGCTGTGTCCAATAATTATTGTATTTTTATCACACTGTAGTTCTGATTCCAAGAAGGGAAGCCATATTGATTCTCTTGCTTTATCTGGATTGAGAAAAAAAAGATATACTGTACATAAAAGTAAAACATTTTCAATATTTTCCAGTTCAACTGGCATACAGCCAATACACCTACAGCCCTGAGGCTCAGTTCACATATGTTCGAGTGGTGCCGCTACGGATCCACACGAAAATCCGTGCGCACCCTCACCACCCGCACGAGGAATGCGGACCCGCAGGCAGGTGCCATTAGTTCTAATGGCATGCCGCCCGCACTTGAAATTGCAACCGCACTGGGAACCGAGGTTCCCATGTGGGCTGCAGTTTCCAAAGAAGTGCAGGGACTACTTCCCAGCGTGTCCCGGACACGGGAGTATATTCAAATGAATGGGCTCTTGTGCCCACGTAAAACACGGTCCGCACAGCCGCATATATGTGAACCAGGGCTTAAAATAAGGGCAGCACAGTGGCTAAATGGTTAGCACTTCCACCTGGCAGTACTAGGGTCTTTGGTACGAATCCCAGCCACGGCACCACCTGCCTGGAGTTTGCATGTTCTCCCTGTGCCTGCGTGGGTTTCCTCCGGGTGCTCAAGTTTCCTCCCACACTCATAGACATGCTGGTTAGTTAATTGGATCCTGTCTAAATTGGCCCTAATATGTGTATGTATGAATGTAAGTTAGGGACCTTAGATTGTACACCCCTTGAGGGTTAGGGACTGATGTGAATGTACAATATATATGTAAAGCGCTGCGTAAATTGACGGTGCTATATAAGTACCTGAAATAAATAATAAATAATGCAAATCCTGCTAATTACAGTGTCCAGCAGCTGTTTAATCAGCCTGTCATAGATTTTGACAGGTTGCTGGCAGTGGGGTTGGACAGTGCACCTCTGCTTCCCAGTTGCAGGAAAACGTTGGGATTTGATATACATGGGCTAAATGACCAGTGTGCATGAGGTTTAATGATTTTAAATTTTATTACTGTAGATAGGCCCAGCATTGGAAACGAAAACACAAAGCTTGCTTACAAAATGGTAAAAAAGAAAAAACTACATAAGGAGAGAGATGAGGGTGGAGAAAATTTAGAGTTAAGCTAGCCACAGAGTGATTTTCATTCCTGCAACCACAGGTTGCAGGAAAGAAAATCTCTTGATTACCCCATCAACACAGTCAGTGTTACATAGTTAGTCTGGCTGAAAAAAGACAAAAGTCCTACCAGTTCAATCATTGAAAAAAAAAAGTTATAATCCTATACCCACAGTTGATCCAGAGGAAGGCAAAAAAACCCCAGCAAAGCACGATCCAATTTGCTCCTGCAGGGAAAAAAATTGCTCCCTGTTCCCTTGAGAGGTAATCGGATATTCCCTGGATCAACTTTACCTATAAATGTTAGTATCCAGTTATATTCTGTGTATCTAGAAAATAATCCAGGCCTTTTTTAAAGCAATCCACTGAGCTGGCCAGAACCAACTCTTGAGGAAGTCTATTCCATATTTTCACAGCTCTCACTGTGAAGAAACCTTTCCGTGTTTGGAGATTACATTTCTTTTCCTCCAGACGTAAAGAGTGCCCCCTTGTCCTCTGTGATGACCTCAGGGTGAATAGCTCCACACCGAGTTCACTATATGAACCATTGATGTACTTATACATGTTGATCATATCCCCCCTTAATCTCCTCTTCTCAAGAGAGAATAAATTCAGTTCCTCTAATCTTTCCTCATAGCTGATCTCCTCCATGCCTCATATCAGTTTGGTTGCCCTTCTCTGTACTTTCTCCAGTTCCCCAATGTTCTTTTTATGAATTGGTGCCCAAAACTGAACTGCATATTCCAGATGAGGTCTTACTAATGATTTGTATAGGGGTAATATGATATCTCTCTCCCTGGAGTCTATACATCTTTTAATACAAGAGAGGATTTTGCTCACTTTAGAAACTGCAGCTTGGCATTGCATGTCATTATTAAGCTTGTGATCTACCAGAACCCCCAGATCCTTCTCCACCATTGATTCCCCCAGTTGTACTCCCCCTAGTATGTATGATGCATGCATATTCTTAGCCCCCAAGTGCAGAACCTTACATTTATCAACATTAAACCTCATTTGCCACATAAGTGTTGATGGGGGAATCCCTCCAATGGAGCCATTGTGTTCTCCCGGTGGGAGAACACAGTGATTACTACTAGCGGCTAGAATAGCCCCTAGCAATAATAGCATGCAAAATCCAACAGTCTGGTTGTACCTAAGTTGATCGATGGATCAACTTGGGTACATTCAACCTGCTCATACATGGTTCGAATCTTGGCCGGTCCCTGCTGAACCAGCTGCGATTTGAAATATCCATGGCTGGCTTAAAGCTTATCTACAGGTTAAATAGAAAGAACTATATTTAACCACTTGCCCTCCAGAGGGTTTTACCCCCCTTCCTGACCAGGCCATTTTTTGTGATACGGCGCTGCATTACTTTAACTGACAATTGCGCGGTCATGTAACACTGCACCCAAATGAAATTTGCATTCTTTTTTCCCCACAAATAGAGCTTTCTCTCATTGGTATTTGATCGCCTGTGCGCGTTTTTTTAATTTTTGCATGATAAACCAAAAAAGACCGACAATTTTGAAAAAAAAAAACCTGATTGACAGCCAAGGCCGCGAATGGCGGCGCGGATAGGGTGTGCGCATGCCCCCTACCCAGAACTGCAAAATCACGCATATATTATACATGTGATTTTGCGCACCCGTGCCGCCCTGTAGCAGTATTATAGGGTGGAACGGAAGTGGTTAAAAACTGTTTGCAAGTGTACCTAGAAGAAAGGATGCTGTTTTGAAGGCAAAGAGTGGCCTTACCAAATACTGATTTGATGATTTTCTCTTCTGTTCATTTACTTTGCATTTTATTAATTGATAAAAAAAATAAACTACTAACACTTCAATTTCTGGAAGTATTCCTAATTTACAGCATTTTTCACAGCTGCCAAAAGACTTTTGCACAGTACTGTATGTCAACTGCTTTCATTCCTTACAGATATATTTAGCGCTCATTCACACTGGCATATGCATACTTTCTACACAGAATACAGTTTCCTTCTGGCACAGCTAGCAGAAGATCCTGCGTGAAATATGTGCCTCAGGCTGGGTTCACACATATGCAGTGCTGTATATCGCATGTAATTCGCACAGGAACCGTACCTCATTCTTATGCAAATCACATCGGATTTGTGTGTGGTGCAGTTGGAGCCATACATTTTGTATGGCTCTAATCACACCACACCCACACCAAAAAGGTGAAGGACCCTTTTTTTGGTGCACACTAGAATCGGATCGCATGGGTATTCACACCTATGCAATCCAATGCTGCACATCGCACAACGTTTTGCGGACCGATTTCAGGGTGTTGTTAATTTAACATACACAGCCGCAGCGGTCCGCATGAACGGGGTGCGATTCTGATGCGGTGTGGAATTCGCACAGAAAACACTGCGAATTCCGCACTGCATCAGTGTGAACCCAGGCTAAAAATACTCACATTTAGAGGCGTGGAAATCTTCTAATAACTTTACATGTGTATATGTATATATGCAATTACACATGTGCAAATACGTATAGCCCCAGATACAGTTGTGTACTGCTTCTTTGTATGCTGCTAAATGAGGTTCACATTTTCGTTAATACAGTTGCAAGAAAAAGTATGTGAACCCCTTGGGATTACGTGGAGTTTTGCGTGAATTGGGCATAAAATGTGCTCTGAACGTCATCTAAGTCACAACAATAGAAGAACACAGTCTGCTGAACATAATACTACACAAACATTAGATGTTGCCATGGTTTACTTGCACATAACATGTAAACATTCACAGTGCAGGGAGGAAAAAGTATGTGAGGCCCTAGCTTAATGACTTCTCCCAGAGCTAATTGGAGCCAGGGAGAGAGCCAACCTTGACTCCAATCAGTGTGATGATATTGGATGTGTTGCTGACAGCTGTCCTGCCCTTAAAAAACACACACCTGTTTTGGGTTTACTGGTTTCAAGAAGCACTGTCTGATGTGAACCATGCCTCGCAGAAAAGAGCTCTCAGAAGACCTACGATCAAGAATTGTTGACTTGCATGAAGCTGGAAAGGGTTACAAAAGTAGCTCCAAAAGCCTTGATGTTCATGTGTCCACGGTAAGACAGACTGTCTACAAATGGAGAGCGTTTAGCACTGTTGCTACTCTCCCTAGGCGAGATCGTCCTGTAAAAATGACTGCAAGAGCACAGCGCAGAACGCTGCATGAGGTAAAGAAGAATCCCAGAGTGTCAGCTAAAGACCTACAGAAATCTCTGGCACATGCTAACATTTTTGTTGACACATCTACAATAAGGAAAACATTAAACAAGAATGGAGTACATGGGAGAACACCGCGGAGGAAGCCATTGCTGTCCAAAAAGAATATTGCAGCACGTTTGAAGTTTGCAAAAGAGCACCTGGATGTTCCACAGCACTACTGGCAAAATATACTGTGGACAGATGAAACCAAGACTGAGTTGTTTGGGAAGAACACACAACACTATGTGTGGAGAGAAAAAAAAGGCACAGCACACCAACATCAAAACCTCATCCCCACTGTAAAACATGGGCGGAGGGAGCATCATGGTTTGGGGCTGCTTTGCTGCTTCAGGGCCTGGACGGATTGTTGTCATTGATGGGAAAATGAATTCCAGAGTGTATCAAGACATTTTGTGACAGGAAAACGTACGACCATCTGTCCGCCAACTGAAGCTCCGCAGAGGATGGGTGATGCAACAGGACAATGACCCAAAGCATACAAGTAATTCAACAAAACAATGGCTGCAACAGCACAGAATGCGCCTTCTGGAGTGGCCCAGTCAGAGTCCTGACCTCAACCCGATTGAAATGCTGTGGCATGACCTTAAGAGAGCGATTCACACCAGACATCCCAAGAATATTGCTACATTGAAACAGTTTTGTGAAGAGGAGTGGTCCAAAATTACTCCAGATCGTTGTGCAGGTCTGATCTGCAACTGCAGGAAACGTTTGGTTGAGGTTATTGCTGCCAAAGGAGGGTCAACCAGTTATTAAGTCCAAAGGTTCACATACTTTTTCCTCCCTGCACTGTGAATGTTTACATGTTATGTGTAATTAAACCATGGCAACATCTAATGTTTGTGTAGTATTATGTTCAGCAGACTGTGTTCTTCTATTGTTGTAACTTAGATGATGTTCAGAGCACATTTTATGCCCAATTCATACAAAACTCCACGTAATCCCAAGGGGTTCACATACTTTTTTCTTGCAACTGTAGATGCAGCTGTGTGTATGGCCCTATTGATTCTTATAGTGCTACATTTAGGAGCATACAAAACTATATGCTGTATCCATCTAAATGCAGTGTTTAGATGCCCATGTGAATGAGCTCTTAATATGAATCTGATATGAAAAATGTATAAAGCCAACATGACCCCATAGGGGCAGGCATGAAAATGTGTTCCATTCCTCGTGTGGCACCCCTCTTCGTTCGCAGTCAACGCGTTTACACGGCACTGTGGGATGGGGAGCTGTATGCCAGCATTCTGACATGGAGCTGAAGATAAGGCTTGTACACACAGCGCACCCAAGATTGGGGCTCCCCATACGCACAGAAGGCACCTTGACAGCAGAAGATGAGCGTAGATCTCCTGGATTCGATCTAAATTGGGTCAGGTTAACTCAGCTAGGCTCCCTATACATCTATGTTTAAAACCTTTTATATTAATAACAGCACCATGTCATAAAATTTGCTTTGCGAATGAAACAAAATAATATACTTACATGGATCAGGCATGTTTTGAAGCAAGCACTTGAAATTTGTAATCTGCAAGATACAAGTATGACATTTGATAAAGTATATCTCTAGGCTTGATTTACTAAAACTAGAGAGTACAAAATCTGGTGCAACTGTGCATGGTAGCCAATCAGCTTCTGACTTCTGTTTGTTCAATTAAGCTTTGAAATAAAAAAAAAACTGCAAGCTGATTGGTTTCCATGCAGAGCTGCGCCAGATTTTGCACCCTAGTTCCCACTCCACATTGTATAACTCATTTTACCTGGTCTAGTTTTTTTTTTGTCCATCCGTACCAGATACAGGACTCCACATTCCCGCCTCCATTCCCTGGGACTATTACAGCTTTTTCAGGACAATCCATAGACAAGTCTTTAGACATCGTCACATTACAAACTGCAGCTTGTGTTCAGGAAATGCATGGCTTGAGAGGTGCATCATGGGAAACGTAGTTCTTCCAGCAGTTCTTCAACTGAACGCTTGGAAGTTTGTAAAGAATAAGGGCTCATGTACACTGCAGCTGACAAACTGATGTTCAGGAGCTGTTCGGTGTTTTTTTTCAGCAGCCCCTGAACTCTCCCTAATGTTTTCTTATGTGTCCATGTACACATAGTCATTTACAGTCGTTTACAGGCAGTTGAGTTTACAGTCGCCTTTTTGAATGCACCAAACTTGCTTTCAGGAGCAGATTTTACCAGCATTTCAAACGCAAAAAGCTTGTAAACGTGGTTAACCGCGTTTAGAAGTGTTTTTTAACTGTTCTATCCAGATTCTGTGCAGAGCCTTTTTACATCATCAGAAATGCATGCAAAGTGTTTTCAATGTAATCAAATGGACCCGGTACACCAGCGCAGTCAGTTCCAGGTTTTGCATGAAGGAAAAAATGGTAGAACGTGCCGCTTTATGCTCATGATGGGATCCTTAGTGAATACAACCAGAAAAGACAGGTCATCTCAACACATACTGCTCTCTCTGCTTCTGCTCTCTCTATTTCTGTCAAAATGTCTGAAATAGTTTTTTGCAATTTTTCAGTGCATTCTGGGCATTTTGGAAGGTCTCCTGAGGTTATCATTAAAAAACGCTTCTAAACGCAAACGCGCATAAACGCAGTATGCAAACGTGGCTAAAACAGACGGTTTTTAACCTACGTTTTTCAGCAGTCAGTTTCCATCGTTCAGAAGAGTTTTCCAAATGCCCCGTGTACATGAGCCCTAAAGAGAACAAAACATAGTTATGGGTTTTTCAGCAACCATCACATGTTTGTAACATAATGCTGGAAAAGTAGGCTCTTACATGAGCACATCATTGGATCAATATACTAAGTCTGGGATAAATGGGCGACTCAATCTCAAAGATAAAAAAAAAATAAGGGAAAAAAAGTGCAAATGTTCTTCCTTTGAACCCCTACAGATGATTGCTGGGAAATTAGTCCCCTTTCACACTTCATTTCAAGTATAGCAAGGCTAATTTCTGTCTCCTCTTGTACCAAATTGTATTGTAACTGTAATGTCTGCCTTCATTTTGTAAAGCGCTGCGCAAACTGTTGGCGCTATATAAATCCTGTATAATAATAATGTTAATAATTAGAGGCTTGTTTTTTATGCATTTCTATAGGTGACTTATAGTAGAGGAGAGCAAATTTGGATTTTCGGGTCCACAAACTTTGAAATGGGGGTACCTGAAAAACCACGTAAACGTGCGTTTTTCAGACTCTCTCTATGGAGAATCTTACCCTGAAAAAGCTCATGTACTTTTTCAAGCTTCACCCATCGGGTGACCCAATGGGATTCTTCATTTTGAGTGTTGTGGCGTGCTTTGTAGTTTCAAGGCTAATGCACGTGGCTTAAACAGCTTCTGCACTCATTCTCCTTTCCTTTTACCAGCAGGCCCAGGAGCATTGGCGCAGGACCAACCATCACCTACAGGTGTCAGAACACCCAACCAGAACAAGCTGAAACGGTTTTGAGCCACAATCGGGTTCAGGGTTTGATATCTGATGCTGCTCCTAATTTTGAGAAATGGATTGCACGTGCACGCCGGAAATAATTACACTGACAACATCTGCTCAGTCCAACTACTTCCTCATTTCTGTCTATTGCAGGGTGGTGCTTAACCTTTTATACACAGAGAACAATAGGGTATACATCACTATTATGTAAATGTGTTCATAGTCTAAAAGGCACATCTTGATTGGCTGAAATATAGAAAGAAGGCAGGAACTTGATGCTTGAGGCTTGCTTGTCGCTCGTTATCTCTTAGGGCTGGTTCACAGTTGGCTGTTTTACCAACGCTTGCCAAAGCGTTTAGCAAGCGTTGGTCGGGCGTTTGCGGAGTGTTTTTTAACGCTCGGCAAACGCTCTGCAAATGCCGCATGCGCGGTTTAGCGGCAGTTGCTAGGCGTTTGCCGAGCGCTAACGCCCCACAAACGCCTATAATGCAGTTTGAGTGGTGTTACCGCTCCGCAAACGCCCCGCAACCGCACCGCAAACGCCGGCCGGGCATTTGCGGAGCGGCACCATAGATGTGAATAGGAGGCTTCAACGCCTCCTGACTCGACCAGAGGCGTCCGTTTTGCCGTGACGCAACGCAAACGCTCCCGTTAGAACAGCACCATGTGCTGTAATGTGCAGAATTGGCAGAGGCGTTTGGGAAGCGGTAAAAACACTTCCCAAACGCCTCTCTGCCGCCTGCACACAACGCTAGTGTGAACGTAGCCTTACTTCCTCACATGTCCAAGACCTAGGTACAAGATCCTCACAGCTCGACGGGAGGGGTTGAGAACATCACTGAACAAACATTTTTGAGTTAAGGAGGACTACAAAGCCCAGCAGACAAAAGATATACACACAACACATATATATATATATTCATACAAAATATATAGAGATATGAAAAAGTATAAAAGTAGATATGTATAAAATGTATAGAAAAATATATATATTCAACAGAAAACTGAATAGGCATTTTTACTATATCCATCACAAAATCATTTAGTTCAATATAGCGCTGAGTGCTTACTTATCCCATGTCCTATATGTTTTCATTTTGGATAGTGCAAGGAAAGGCTATAACCCCTGTCAGATATTTATTTTATTTATTTATTTCAGGTAAATATATAGTGCCATCAATTTACGCAGCACTTTACATATATATATATATATATATATATATATATATATATATATATATTGTACATTCACATCAGTCCCTAACCCTCACGAGGCGCACATGCTAAGGTCCCTATCTTACATTCATACATACACATACTAGGGCCAATTTAGACAGGAGCCAATTAACCTACCAGCATGTCTTTGAAATGAGGGAGGAAACCGGAGTACCCGGAGGAAACCCATGCACGTACGGGGTGAATTATACAGAGTGTATAATGAGTGCATTATACAGAAGGATTTATCATGGATTCACGCTTCACTTGGCATCGCAATCATTTCTCTTGGACTTTTTATTTGGAATATTTTATTTATTGAGTTTCATACATTATATTTATTGGATTGTTCACCCATTCGTCACTTGTTTATTTGTCACCTTTTGGCACTGTCATTTCAGCGAGGCATTGTTATATATTATTTGTTCACTACAGCACTACTTCAGGGCACTTCACTGATAATTATTTTGTGCGTATTCACTTACAGTCACCTGTGATTTGATATATGCATTTATTTGCTATGGTATTGTATTTATGATTATCATTGTAGTTTTTATTAGCGCTGCACTTTCTTTCCTATTTACATGCTCAGTTTAGTGTGTATTGCTAGAGAGGTTTTTTTTTCTTGGGAGCGTGCATGTGATCAGCACATGGCCAATCAGCACTGTCCAGACAGAGGGTCAGGGATAGTTTTTATTAGCGCTGCACTTTCTTTCCTATTTACATGCTCAGTTTAGTGTGTATTGCTAGAGAGGTTTTTTTTTCTTGGGAGAGTGCATGTGATCAGCACATGGCCAATCAGCACTGCCCACACAGAGGGTCAGGGGTTTTTCATTCTCCTAGAGCAGAAAAAAAACTTCTCCTACAAGCTTTAACCAGTGCTCTGCTGAAGTCACAAGACTGCTCTATCTGCTGATGAGAAAAGGTATTTAGCAGTTTATATTTACTAAAATAATTGCACTTCCGTGTTCTGTGTACTGTGGGAGACCAGATATAGTGAGTGCAGGATCCTGGGTTTTGTAACATTTTAAGCCCCCCTCCTTACCCGTGCAGACTGTGGGACCATTCACAAAGCGCATTCACAGTAGGAAAGGGCTGTGAAGCCAAAAGGCTTCACTGCCAATTTCCCTTACCTAAGATGCCGGCGCTTGCACCCAAAGTGGACTGAAGAATCGGCTCGGGGTGAGGACATCGCTGTATCCCTAGACAGGTAAGTGTCCATAATAAAAGTCAGCAGCTACAGTATTTATAGTTGCTGACTTTAAATTTTTTTTGGGAGGGGAGAAACTTGGGACCATTAGTTTACCAGAACTAGTGCCCCTCCTTTGGAAGATTTCCCCTCTATTACTTTTCTGGGGGATAACTCAAAATTTAGCGTTTTCTTTTAGTTTCACTTTCAATGATAATGGTAAACAGGACAAAAAGACAAGTGTTCTAATCCCCTGTACTGAAAGAGTTTTGCCTTTTATTTCTGTAACTACTGCAAAACAAAGAGCGTGTCTATTGTGTTAGTTATACGTTAATGTGTCACATAAATACATATAAATGAATAAAATATCACTTCAAAACTAGTAGCAATAATAAATGTGTACATAAATCCCCAGAGAACTCAACAGTCTCCCAGAATAAGTTGAAACAGATAAAAAGTGATACAGTGTGCCAAAAAAGAGAAACAAATGTAGCAAAACTTGTATGTGGTGGTGACTAAATATCCAGTAGTAAAGTATGTAAGTCAATGGCATAGTGTGTTAGTATGCATCACATACAGTCCTAGCACATTATGAAAGACTTACCTTAAAATGAAGCCCTCCTGTGGTGTGCTGTCACCGCTGACAGGGCTCCAATCTTCACCCGGTCTTCCTTAACCCCAGATTCACACCTAAGCGTTTTCCATTTTGCAGAAACGCACTACAGTTCATTTAACATGATTTCCTATGGGACATGTTCAAGTCTCAGCGTTTTCACCCGAAGCGTTTTTTGGAAGGGGTCAGGGACTTTTTTAAATGCAAAAAGTTGTGTTTTGGGCTCTATAGACTTCTATGGAAATGCAGAAAAGCATGTAGTATTTTTTGCTGTGTTTTTGCCATGTTTTTGATGCATTTTGCATTTTAAATCTGCCTAGCAACAAGACAAATAAAAAAATGTAAAAAAAAATGCAAATGCATCAAAAAATGCAGATGCAAAATGCAACGTAAAACACA